AATTAGATACATTTAACAACAAAATGTTTTTTATCTCAAAAATTAAAAGTTGTGGATGCAAATAATATTAATAAAAATTGTTTATAATAGATCGCAAAAACATAGTTCATAAACGATTTTCTTTTAACTATTTCGCATTTTGAGTTATAAACGATAAAATACCCAAATCTCCAAATTGATGTTTTTGGATAAGAATTCTTGTTATAATTCAAAAACAATAAATGCTAGGAAAAAAATGTTTGACTGAAAATTGTTTACAATAAGCTAATAAAACATTACCCGCAAGCAGTAATAACCCAATCATAATTATTACCAACGTAACGAATTTAAAATCCGAAACTGTTCAAATTTGATACATTTAGCAACAAAATGGTTTTTATCTCAAGAATTAAAAGTTGTGGATGCAAATATTATTAATAAAAATTGTTTATAATACATCGCAAATACATTATTCATTAGCGATTTTCTTTTAGCTATTTCGCATTTTCAGTTATAAACGATAAAATATCCAAATTTCCAAATTGATGTTTTTTGATACGAATTATTGTTATAACTCAAAAACTATAAATGCTAGGAGAAAAATGTTTTGGTTAAAATTGTTAGCAATAAACTAATAAAACATTACCCACAAACAGTTATAACCCAACCATAATTATTAGCAACGAACGTATCTAATTCAAAATCCGAAATATTTCAAATTTGATACATGTAATAACAAAATGGTTTTTATCTCAAAAATTAAAAGTAGTGGATGCAAATATTATTAATAAAAATTGTTTATAATACATGGCAAATACATAATTCATAAGCGATTTTCTTTTAATTATTTCGCATTTTCAGTTATAAACGATAAAATATTCAAATTTCCAAATTGATGTTTTTTGATAAGAATTCTTGTTATAACTCAAAAACAATAAATGCTAGGAAAAAAATGTTTGACTGAAAATTGTTTACAATAAGCTAATAAAACATTACCCGCAAGCAGTTATAACCCAACCATAATTATTACCAACGAACGTAGCGAATTCAAAATCCGAAATATTTCAAATTTGATACATTTAACAACAAAATGGTTTTTATTTCAAGAATTAAAAGTTGTGGATGCAAATATTATTAATAAAAATTGTTTATAATAGATCGCAAAAACATAATTCATAAACGATTTTCTTTTAACTATTTCGCATTTTGAGTTATAAACGATGAAATACCCAAATCTCCAAATTGATGTTTTTGGATAAGAATTCTTGTTATAATTCAAAAACAATAAATGCTAGGAAAAAAATGTTTCGCTGAAAATTGTTTACAATAAGCTAATAAAACATTACCCGCAAGCAGTAATAACCCAATCATAATTATTACCAATGTAACGAATTTAAAATCCGAAACTGTTCAAATTTGATACATTTAACAACAAAATGGTTTTTATCTCAAAAATTAAAAGTTGTGGATGCAAATATTATTAATAAAAATTGTTTATAATACATCGCAAATACATAATTCATATGCGATTTTCTTTTAACTATTTCGCATTTTCAGTTATAAACGATAAAATATCCAAATTTCCAAATTGATGTTTCTTTGATAAGAATTCTTGTTATAACTCAAAAACTATAAATGCTAGGAGAAAAATGTTTGGATTAAAATTGTTAGCAATAAGCTAATAAAACATTACCCACAAGCAATTATAACCCAACCATAATTATTAGCAACCAACGTAGCGAATTCAATATCCGAAATATTTCAAATTTGATACATTTAGCAACAAAATGGATTTTATCTCAAGAATTAAAAGTTGTGGATGCTAATATTATTAATAAAAATTGTTTATAATACATCGCAAATACATTATTCATAAGCGATTTTCTTTTAACTATTTCGCATTTTCAGTTATAAACGATAAAATACCCAAATTTCCAACTTGATGTTTCTTTGATAAGAATTAATGCTATAAGTCAAAAACTATAAATGCTAGGAAAAAAATGTTTGGATTAAAATTGTTAGCAATAAGCTAATAAAACATTACCCACAAGCAGTTATAACCCAACCATAATTATTACCAACGAGAACGTAGCGAATTCAAAATATGAAATATTTCAAATTTGATACATTTAACAACAAAATGGTTGTTATCTCAAAAATTAAAAGTAGTGGATGCAAATATCATTAATAAAAATTATTTATAATACATCGCAAAAACATAATTCAAAAACTATTTCTTTCCAATTTTACTTTACTGACTTTTAGGAACTGAAAAATATCTTTTAATTTCTTCAATACCATAATAAGTGCGATAAAATCAAATTAAAACATTTACATTGATTACAAAAATGATAGAATGAATGACAAATAAGAATATTTTTATTATTAAATTAAAAATATTGTAAATGAATAAAATTAATATGTAAAAATTAAAAATATTCTCCTTTTATAATTCTGTTGAATAAAATTTGTCTTGAAGCAGGGAAAAATTTTAGTAAATATTCCCATTCGAATAAATGTAAGCATAAAATCGTAGAAGTCCTTTTACATCGATAAGAATAGTCGTGAGCTTTTCTTTTTTGCAATCCTTGTTCTATCCCAAAAGAATCACCTNATAACTTTTAGTTTTTGAGAAAACAATATTTGAAGTTTTGATAAAATTTTCGATGTTGCAATTTTCATCGATGACTTTCAAAATTCGCTATAGAATTCATTTCTTGAAGGATCCTTGTGGGAATATCGCGAATTATTAATTAAAGTATCCTCTTTTTAATGCAAAAAGCCGTTTTGAAAAATCACTTTTAGTTCTTGAGAAATATATTTTTGAAATAATCGACATTTGTTTCGAATTTTGCAATTTTCGCCGATTAAGTTTTAAAAATTCGTATAAAATCCATTTCTTGGAATATGTGTTTGAAAATTTCCCAAAGTGTTTATAAGAGTGTCCTCTTTCCAATGAACCAACCCGTCTTGAAAAATAACTTTTAGTTTTTGATTTTTTTTTCATTGGACACTACGAAAGAGGAAATACCGAAAGCTCGTTTAAATTCTGTTAAAACTCAAAGATATTGCGATGGTACATGAAAATAACATTAAAATGACTTTTTTTATGTAGCCATAACTCGTAAACGATGTATTTGATTAACAAGATCTATTCGTCATTCGATTCGTCATAGTTTCTTCTACAAATGATAAAATTTGCTATAACTTTTATACCTAAACTTTTATTCTAAAACTTTCCAAATCCATTACTCTACCAACAATAATATGCAAAACCACGAATTCATCCAATTTTCACCTCTTCAAATTTTTCTGGATATTTATGTATCATATTTATGTCAAGTATAAAAGATAGAAGTATATTATTAAAAGACAATATTATTAAAAATAAAGTTTGCTACAACAGAAATTTTATAGAAATTCGAAAGAGATTTCAAATCGGTCATTTCCACTTTCGTATTGGCCAATGATTAAGCTTTCGAATGAGATATTGTTCATCGAAATCTGTTGTTCGCTAGAATAATTGAGGTCTAACTTCGCATAGGTAAATAATTTACCCCAAAATAATCACAACTTATCTTTTCAGAAAATCATCAAGACATCTCTCCACAACTTTTACCACTATTCCACATCTACGGATTCGCAACAACCTTATCTATGCTAACATATGGCGTTAAAATAATAACTTTACCAAAATTCGAAAGAGACAACTACCTTAAAGTATTATCCCAAGAAAAACCTCATTTTATGGTGGTTGTACCTCCGATTGTAATCTTTTTATACGCTTCTCCCGAAGTTAAACCAATTGATTTAAGTTCATTAAGAACAATAAGTTGTGGGGCAGCCCCATTGGGTGCTTTAGACGAAGAGAAATTTCGTAAAAAAATCGGAAGGCCGATAAATGTGCTACAAGGTTATGGGTTATCTGAAACTTCTCCAGTTGTGACAATGGTTCCGATCCAATTACAAGGAAAATATCCGGGATCTATGGGAATCCCGGTTCCCAACACACAAATAAAAGTCGTTTCTCCCGATGATAAAAAAGGAAATCATTTAAAACCAAACGAAATCGGTGAGATATACGTAAAAGGACCTCAAGTAATGAAAGGGTATCATAACAATCCGGAAGAAAGCGAAAAATCTTTTCATGACGGTTGGTTTAAAACTGGGGATTTAGTGAAATATAATGAAAATGGAATGTTTTACATTTGCGATCGTTTAAAAGAATTAATTAAAGTTCGAGGGTTTCAAGTTCCACCGGCGGAACTCGAAGAGATTATAAGGGATTTTCCGGGTGTGGTTGAAGCGGCCGTTATTGGAATTCCGGACGAATATAACGGGGAGTTACCGAAAGCTTTCGTCGTTAAAAAGAAAGAAGCAAACGTTGATGTGGAAAAATTACAAGAATTTGTTGCCTCGAAAGTTGCCCGACATAAACATTTAAAGGGCGGTGTTGTTTTTGTAGAAAGTATTCCTAAAAATGACTCAGGGAAAATACTTAGACGGAAACTTAAAGAGTTATACTTATAAGATAAGATAAGGTTTTTGTTAACTAGGGTTATCTTTTAAATAAAATGTAAAGAAATAAATTTATAATATGTATTTAATTTTCTTTTCAAATCAAGACAAATCAAAACACAACTCTTTATTTCCAAAGGATTAGACAATGCAACATTGTAATGAATGTAATTGTAGTCGTGCATTTTGTGATGTTTTTGGATTAGAATTCTTGTTATAACTGAAAATCTATGGATGCTAGGAAGAAAATGTTTGGATGAAAATTGTTTGCAATAAGCTAGTAAGACATCACCCACAAGCAGTTATTACCCAATCATAATTATTACCAATGTAGCAAATTTAAAATCCGAAACATTTCATATTTGACACATAATAACAAAATGGTTTTTATTTTAAAAATTTAAAGTTGTAGAAACAATTAATATTAATAAAAATTGCTTATAACACATCACAATGGCATAATTTATATGCGCTTTCTTCTCAATTATTTGGAATTTTTAGTTATAGTCGATAAAATCACAACATCTCTAACTTTATGTTTTTGGGTTAGAATTCTTGTGATACCTGAAGGACTAGAAATGTTAAGAAAAAATGTGGATAAAAATTGATTGCAGTAAGCTAATAAAACATTGCACGCAAGCAATTATAACACAATCATAATTATTACCAACGTAGCGAATTTAAAATCCGAAACTGTTCAAATTTGATACATTTAGCAACAAAATGGTTTTTATCTCAAGAATTAAAAGTTGTGGATGCAAATAATATTAATAAAAATTGTTTATAATAGATCGCAAAAACATAGTTCATAATCGATTTTCTTTTAACTATGTCGCATTTTGAGTTATAAACGATAAAATACCCAAATCTCCAAATTGATGTTTTTGGATAAGAATTCTTGTTATAATTCAAAAACAATAAATGCTAGGAAAAAAATGTTTGACTGAAAATTGTTTAGAATAAGCTAATAAAACATTACCCGCAAGCAGTAATAACCCAATCATAATTATTACCAACGTAACGAATTTAAAATCCGAAACTGTTCAAATTTGATACATTTAGCAACAAAATGGTTTTTATCTCAAGAATTAAAAGTTGTGGATGCAAATATTATTAATAAAAATTGTTTATAATACATCGCAAATACATAATTCATAAGCGATTTTCTTTTAATTATTTCGCATTTTCAGTTATAAACGATAAAATATCCAAATTTCCAAGTTGATGTTTCTTTGATAAGAATTCTTGTTATAATTCAAAAACTATAAATGCTAGGAGAAAAATGTTTGGATTAAAATTGTTAGCAATAAGCTAATAAAACATTACCCACAAGCAGTTATAACCCAACCATAATTATTACCAACGAGCGTATCTAATTCGAAATGCGAAATATTTCAAATTTGATACATTTAACAACAAAATGGTTTTTATCTCAAAAATTAAAAGTTGTGGATGCAAATAATATTAATAAAAATTGTTTATAATAGATCGCAAAAACATAGTTCATAAACGATTTTCTTTTAACTATTTCGCATTTTGAGTTATAAACGATAAAATACCCAAATCTCCAAATTGATGTTTTTGGATAAGAATTCTTGTTATAATTCAAAAACAATAAATGCTAGGAAAAAAATGTTTGACTGAAAATTGTTTACAATAAGCTAATAAAACATTACCCGCAAGCAGTAATAACCCAATCATAATTATTACCAACGTAACGAATTTAAAATCCGAAACTGTTCAAATTTGATACATTTAGCAACAAAATGGTTTTTATCTCAAGAATTAAAAGTTGTGGATGCAAATATTATTAATAAAAATTGTTTATAATACATCGCAAATACATTATTCATAAGCGATTTTCTTTTAACTATTTCGCATTTTCAGTTATAAACGATAAAATATCCAAATTTCCAAATTGATGTTTCTTTGATAAGAATTCTTGTTATAATTCAAAAACTATAAATGCTAGGAAAAAAATGTTTGGATTAAAATTGTTAGCAATAAGCTAATAAAACATTACCCACAAGCAGTTATAACCCAACCATAATTATTACCAACGAGAACGTAGCGAATTCAAAATATGAAATATTTCAAATTTGATACATTTAACAACAAAATGGTTGTTATCTCAAAAATTAAAAGTAGTGGATGCAAATATCATTAATAAAAATTATTTATAATACATCGCAAAAACATAATTCAAAAACTATTTCTTTCCAATTTTACTTTACTGACTTTTAGGAACTGAAAAATATCTTTTAATTTCTTCAATACCATAATAAGTGCGATAAAATCAAATTAAAACATTTACATTGATTACAAAAATGATAGAATGAATGACAAATAAGAATATTTTTATTATTAAATTAAAAATATTGTAAACGAATAAAATTAATATGTAAAAATTAAAAATATTCTCCTTTTATAATTCTGTTGAATAAAATTTGTCTTGAAGCAGGGAAAAATTTTAGTAAATATTCCCATTCGAATAAATGTAAGCATAAAATCGTAGAAGTCCTTTTACATCGATAAGAATAGTCGTGAGCTTTTCTTTTTTGCAATCCTTGTTCTATCCCAAAAGAATCACCTTTGTACAAAATTTCCTCTATTTTATCGTTATTCATGTATTCATCCATAAGTTTGTGTACTTCCCCATCAAAAATAAAATACATCGTTCTATCAATAGCACCTTTAAACTGCACATATTCATCCGGATAATAAATTCTATACCGAATCTTTTGAGTAACTTGTCTAATAAAATCATTATGACATTGATCCCAAATCGGATGAGCACCAACGAAAAATTTAAAAGCACAATTCATTGTGGCGTCTCGCAAATAAGGAGACATTTCTTCTAAAAGTCGTGGAGACATTTCCCCCTCACAATTTATCCATAAAGCGCTACAAATACTTATACATTTCATTCGAAGTGATGCCGAAAGATTTTGGGTGAGCAAAAAGTATTTGATGTGGTAGTAAAGTTTTAAATATTGTCCCTTTTTAACGTAAACACCATTAACTATGCTGAAAACTTCGCAACAAGCAGCCATGTAAAAATAATAACCACTAATCATTGTAAAAACGAAAAGAATAATTAAAATCGTTCCTTGAGGTACATAATTTTGTTGTTGCGAAACTGTAAAAGCAGACCAAACGATATGAAGAAAAGGTAAATGTTCCAGAAATATTACATCCGAAGTCCATTCAGCTCTTTCATCCCAACTAGGAATTTCCGGGGCAAGATTTGGTTTAATTGTACAACTAATAGTAGATATAATACTCGCATAAACATTTACAATTAAGAACGAGCAAAGCGAGATACTACTTAATTTCAATAAAAATAAGTTAACATCTAATTTTCTGGATTTGATTTGAATGTATTTGATTAAATAAGCTATTTTCAAAGTTCGGTTTAGTCTATAAATGCCGTTAAAACTGTTGTTATTGGTAAAAACAACGTTTAATGTATAAATTAAAACATCAACAGGAAATATGCTAATAATCGTTATCATTAACATAAATTTGTTTTCACGATTTCGTTTTTTTATTTGTTTCACATTGTAAACCATGTAACCCCATTCGTTTTCATAAGCTACTCTATCTTGCAATAAAAAGTGCGCCAAATACATCAAATCAGAAACATATTGAATAGTAAAAACCGTCATGCTGTAATCGCCAGATCCTATTTGATAAATATCGAGAATCACGCCGAAATAACAGGCGAAAATAAGAAAAGCTAAAGTCCAAACTATTACGAAATGACTATTTGGTTCTAAAACTCTCACAAAGACATTTTTCGAACGTTGCGCGTTCTCCAATTCGTTAATTCTTACAATTCCAGGTTGCGTTGGGACGTAATAAATGTATTTCGCCCGTAACATTTCAAATTCTCGAAGTAATTCGGGATAATATTGCAATAAATTAATGAAAACTCGAGTTTTGCATAACAAAATTTCGACGTGAGTTGTAGCGACGATGCTTAATTTTAACCTTGCGTATTGCGTCGATGAAATATTCCCACAAATACTCCCAGCTTGCAACGTTTGAAGAGTTGTCCCATCCGGCGCTAAAACATCAGCCATACCTTGATAAACTATACAAAGATAATCGCCGATATCATTAATCGTTTGCAAAAATCCCCCTTTCATAATCAAATCGAACTTTAAAAGCGGCAAAATATTTTTAAAGAAAAGCGAAGAGTCGTGTAAAAAAGGCGAATTATTCACCAAGTTTTTCCCATAAAATTGAAACAAAATATCGGTTCTTAAAGCCAAAGTAAACGGCGCAACCAACCGAAAAACGCCTTGTTCTTGTAATCGCAACCATTTCAATTCGAACGTTCTTATAATCGTTTTTCGCAATTTAGAGTCGCGAATCGTCGTGTCTAAATGTTTTTTTAAATGTTTCATGGCGATTTGATTCTCTAACAGTTCGTTTTGCCCGAAGAAGTGAAGTTGTTGAAGTTGTCCGATTAATTTAACTCCTACGTATAAACTCACAAACAGTCCAATTATAAAGAACAATTTAGCAACGTCCGAGTTTAAAATTGGTCCTTGAAACGACACGTTCGTCATTAAAACGGTGCTTATATAAACGTAATACAAATGAGCGCGAGTTAACGAAATTGGCTTCAAAAAAGGCGAATTCTCCAAAATCGAATCTTTAATGCAAGTATAACCAACATAAATCCCATTATTTTCCTTAGAATCCTCACTTATCGTGCATTCCAACGTAAAAATTAACATCCCCATTCCGTTACATAAAACCAAAATGAACGGGACGTAAAATAAGCTGTACCATTTCGAAACTGGCTTAACTATATCGGTTCGGATGTATTTCATTTGTTGTAAATAAATGTGAAGTTGCAAAAAGTGGTTAATATTTACTAACATTAAACCCCAATCGCGTTTAACGGTGAACATGTATCGAAATGGGATTATTGAGAATATATCGACTAATAAGCCTGATTTAGCGTAATTCCTCGCTGTTTGCAAGGGGTGAGTTATTAAAAGCCCATTTTTATCGTAAAAACAAACGTGTAAACGGATGTAAATGTCGATTAAAGCAAGAACGTCTAAAACGTTGAGTATCCAAGCGTATTCCACGATTATAACAGGAACGAAGTAACAAATCGTTGTTAATAAAACAAAAACTGATCTGATCCATTGCCACACATACAAAAAAGTCCCATCCGGAATTATTGTAAGGCGCAAAAAGAAGTATCTTAAAAACTCGAAAGGGTATAATCGATCGTAATGGATAAAAAAATCGTATTCTTGAAAGCTATCTTTTTCCATCATCAAAGGATACACGAAAAAATTCTTTTTTTCATGCTCCTTTTCTTCTATTTCGCTTGGTGCATCTTTAGTCATATCAATTAAAGCGATTTTAATATCGGTACTTGCTTTCAACGTCGTTTTAACATTCACAAAATCTGCCTTGCAATAAAGTAATTTCCGAAAAAATTTCGTCCGATCAAATCTCAACACGATACAATGGGTTATCGCCCTAAAAGTATGCGCATTCGGCATCTGCAACATCACCTCAATTAAATTACAAGCAAAAACGTCTTTTATGATTTTAATTTGCTCTCCTTGGGAGTTAATCATCTCAACTATACCGTTTATAACTATGTAGTTATAACTTGTGATTCCCCCGTAGTAAGTTATAATTTCGTTTGGGGCAAAAATTAAAACGGTCATTATATCGCACGAGTTATAAATTGAATTATCGCTTAGGTATTGGAAAAAAGAAATTTTTCGGACTTGATCCCCGTACATCGTATCGATAGTTTCGGCTAATGTGGTTTTTGAGAAATAAACAGGTTGTGTGTTGGCATTGTAAAGGTGGTAACAACGATTTGAATGCCATTGCACCAACAAATAATTAATAATCCTTGGGGAATAAGCCTTCAAATTGCTCCTTTTAACCATTGCAATCAACCCCGCGCTAATTTCTTGCACCCTCAACACGTTAAAATGCTTAATAACGTGAATATAAGAAATTGAGCCATAAAACGATAAGATCGTTAACCCGACATATTCCTGAATAAGCGTATAAATCGTGTTGTTTTTAACATAACCAGTTAAAGTAAACTCTAATCCTCTAGCCCATTGGGCGCTTATATAAATGAGATGCAACAAATCCGAATCAGGATTCGTGTGCTTTAAATACATAAAAAGGCTAAAAGTTACATAAGAAAAAATCCAAGTGTATTGGCAATAAATAACCACGACGTGATTCGCCGTGCAGCTATTCATCCAAGCCGAAAATAACCTCGCAATCCTCCATATCTTCAAAACCCGGTTTAAATGCATCATTGACACACTTTTCGACGTTAATTCCTCAACCGCGATTGGGTTAAAAACCTCAAAAGGCAAACAAGAAAAAATGTCCAACCAAAAACCAAACGATTGAAATCGAACCGTTGTTATTTTCTTCAAAGTGTTCATAACCCCAGAAGGAGTTTTAATCGTAGTCGATATCTGTATATAAATATCAACCATAAACACAAAAGTCCCAAAAAGAATTAAAGGGTAATACCACGTTGGTAAAAAGTCGCTGGCAAAAACCATGTAGGGTATTGCAAAAGAAAAAACTAAGGTCCAAATCACAATGAATAATTCCCAAAGTTTCAAAATAAACGAACTTTCGTGTAGGATATACGGAAATTTTAATCTTGCGAAATTCGTGTCTTGAGTTTTGTTCATTCTTTCCGCAATAACCAACATATCCAAATTGTTCGCGCAAAATAACAAATTTCTTAAATCGTCTTCTTTAAATTCCCGCATTAAATGAATATTTTGAAAATCGTGGCGCGCCGCCGCTTCAGCACTCGTCGATAATAAACAATGCAAAATGTTTTTTAACCAAAACGTTGTATGAAAATCAATATTCCTTTTATTTAAATCCAAACTGTTTTTTACCACAGCAACGATTTTATTACTTTCAATCGCGTAATTAAATCGGTCGTAAATCGATGATTTCATCGATTTGTACTCGTAAGGAAATTTGGAGGAAATCCTCGACAATTTTTGTTGTTCTAAAATGTGTAATTGACAAAAAGTTTGGCATTGAACGAAATTCGTCGATTTCGATGATAAAAATAAGGAAGTTTCGCCGATTACCGTGCCGGATGTGAAAGAAATAATCGGAGTTTCGCCGTCTTCTTCGGATAAAATCGAAATTGTACCGGAAACGACGTAAATCATCTTCTGTTTTAATTCCCCTTTTCTGTAAATAATCTCGCCGGGTAATAAATAAATTTGTTCCATATACAACGAGACTTCTCGCAAAAACGGCAAATTCATACTTCTAAATAATTTCGAATGTTTAAAAGCGGGCCAACTAATATCCATTAATATCTCAGAAAACATCACCGGGGATAAAATAATAAAAATATTTTTGCTTCTTGAATAACCACGACATTGTTCCCAATATATTTTAAACCCCTTTTCGGCCGAATTCCTTATATATTCAGGTATGTTAAATAATTTATTTCTAAGTCGCACCAATTTATGTCGATACATATAAATGTGTTGATGTGTACCTCGACGAATTAAATGAACAGTGAATAAACCTCGGAAAAAAAATCCCAAAGAAACCGTACATAATATATAAACAGCCCATACAAGAGTGTAATATAATTGGTTTTCAACTCTTCGTTCGTTAATATGTTGCATTGATGATATTAATCCTCTCAAAAAATTTTTAGCATCACACGCCGATTTTACACAGATTTCTCCCCCGCAAGCCATTGTGCAATAAACACAAAATCTAATAAATCCAAGTAAAGTAAATAACAAAGAATAATCAACGATGTACATCAAAATATGCCTGCTTATATGATTATAAGATTTATATAGCATATAACCCAATCGAACGAATCTAAACGCTCGATTCACTCTCATTACACACAAATAATTCTCGTTACCAGAATAAAGTAATTCTTGGGGTATTAATGAGTAAATATCGCATATTACCACAAATGACGGTCGTCTTGTGATTTCTGATTGAGTTAATTTTAATCGTTTTGCAAATTTTACTACAGCCGCTAACATTAAATCGACTACATAAACGGCGTCAATTATCATATATAATTCTAAAATAAAAAAATGTCATATAAAAAGCGTTATTTCGTATTAATTTTTTACCTCGACTTCGATTTGTACACTGGAAATTAATCGCGCTAAAAAGACAATCCAAAACCATAATGTAAGTGATTATAGATAATGTTATATACCAAACTGGTTCTGATTGCAGTTGAAAAATTACTAACCATGGTTTTACTTCGAGGGGTTTATAACAAATTTGTTCTACTGCTGTTGTTGTATCATCATCAATATACTTTAATTTATCTCTTCTAAAAAGATCAGCGGACAGTTTCATATTGTTTTGATAGGTGACAGATTAAAATTTGATCGTTTTAGATTTTAAGAATTCAAAAAATCGTATCTCAAAAACGAATGGAGATTTAAGGATGAAATAAAAGACGTTTTAAAGAAAACTTAATAAAGATTTAGTGTGGCATAAATAAATTTTTAATTTCTATAAACNCTTGTGATACCTGAAGGACTAGAAATGTTAAGAAAAAATGTGGATAAAAATTGATTGCAGTAAGCTAATAAAACATTGCATGCAAGCAATTATAACACAATCATAATTATTACCAATGTAGCGAACTTAAAATCCGAATCATTTCAAATTTGATACATTTAACAACAAAATGGTTTATCTCAAAAATTAAAAGTAGTGGATGCAAATAATATTAATAAAAAATGTTTATAATAGATCGCAAAAACATAGTTCATAAACGATTTTCTTTTAACTATTTCGCATTTTCAGTTATAAACAATAAAATATCCAAATTTCCAAATTGATGTTTTTTTGATAACAATTCTTGTTATAACTCAAAAATTATAAATGCTAGGAGAAAACTGTTTGGATTAAAATTGTTAGCAATAAACTAATAAAACATTACCCACAAGCAGTTATAACCCAACCATAATTATTACCAACGAACGTATCTAATTCAAAATCCGAAATATTTCAAATTTGATACATTTAACAACAAAATGGTTGTTATTTCAAAAATTAAAAGTAGTGGATGCAAATAATATTAATAAAAATTGTTTATAATAGATCGCAAAAACATTATTCATAAGCGATTTTCTTTTAGCTATTTCGCATTTTCAGTTATAAACGATAAAATATCCAAATTTTCAAATTGATGTTTTTTGATACGAATTATTGTTATAACTCAAAAATTATAAATGCTAGGAGAAAAATGTTTTGGTTAAAATTGTTAGCAATAAGCTAATAAAACATTGCCCACAAGCAGTTATAACCCAACCATAATTATTACCAACGAACGTATCTAATTCGAAATGCGAAATATTTCAAATTTGATACATTTAACAACAAAATGCTTTTTATCTCAAAAATTAAAAGTAGTGGATGCAAATAATATTAATAAAAATTGTTTATAATAGATCGCAAAAACATAGGTCATAAACGATTTTCTTTTAACTATTTCGCACTTTGTTATAAACGATAAAATATCCAAATTTCCAAGTTGATGTTTCTTTGATAAAAATTCTTGTTATAATTCAAAAACTATAAATGCTAGGAGAAAAATGTTTGGATTAAAATTGTTAGCAATAAGCTAATAAAACATTGCCCACAAGCAGTTATAACCCAACCATAATTATTACCAACGAACGTAGCGAATTCAAAATCCGAAATATTTCAAATTTGATACATTTAACAACAAAATGGTTTTTATCTCAAAAATTAAAAGTTGTGGATGCAAATATTATTAATAAAAATTGTTTATAATACATCGCAAATACGTAATTCATAAGCGATTTTCTTTTAACTATTTCGCATTTTCAGTTATAAACGATAAAATATCCAAATTTCCAACTTGATGTTTCTTTGATAAGAATTCTTGCTATAATTCAAAAACTATAAATGCTAGGAAAAAAATGTTTGGATTAAAATTCTTAGCAATAAGCTAATAAAACATTACCCACAAGCAGTTATAACCCAACCATAATTATTACCAACGAGAACGTAGCGAATTCAAAATCCGAAATATTTCAAATTAGATACATTTAACAACAAAATGTTTTTTATCTCAAAAATTAAAAGTTGTGGATGCAAATAATATTAATAAAAATTGTTTATAATAGATCGCAAAAACATAGTTCATAAACGATTTTCTTTTAACTATTTCGCATTTTGAGTTATAAACGATAAAATACCCAAATCTCCAAATTGATGTTTTTGGATAAGAATTCTTGTTATAATTCAAAAACAATAAATGCTAGGAGAAAAATGTTTGGCTGAAAATTGTTTACAATAAGCTAATAAAACATTACCCGCAAGCAGTAATAACCTAATCATAATTGTTACCAACGTAACGAATTTAAAATCCGAAACTGTTCAAATTTGATACATTTAGCAACAAAATGGTTTTTATCTCAAGAATGAAAAGTTGTGGATGCAAATAATATTAATAAAAATTGTTTATAATAGATCGCAAAAACATAGTTCATAAACGATTTTCTTTTAACTATTTCGCATTTTGAGTTATAAACGATAAAATACCCAAATCTCCAAATTGATGTTTTTGGATAAGAATTCTTGTTATAATTCAAAAACAATAAATGCTAGGAAAAAAATGTTTGACTGAAAATTGTTTACAATAAGCTAATAAAACATTACCCGCAAGTAGTAATAACCAAATCATAATTATTACCAACGTAACGAATTTAAAATCCGAAACTGTTCAAATTTGAGACATTTAGCACCAAAATGGTTTTTATCTCAAGAATTAAAAGTTGTGGATGTAAATATTATTAATAAAAATTGTTTATAATACATCGCAAATACATTATTCATACGCGATTTTCTTTTAACTATTTCGCATTTTCAGTTATAAACGATAAAATATCCAAATTTCCAAGTTGATGTTTCTTTGATAAGAATTCTTGTTATAACTCAAAAACTATAAATGCTAGGAGAAAAATGTTTGAATTAAAATTGTTAGCAATAAGCTAATAAAACATTACCCACAAGTAGTAATAACCAAATCATAATTATTACCAACGTAACGAATTTAAAATCCGAAACTGTTCAAATTTGATACATTTAGCAACAAAATGGTTTTTATCTCAAGAATTAAAAGTTGTGGATGCAAATATTATTAATAAAAATTGTTTATAATACATCGCAAATACATTATTCATAAGCGATTTTCTTTTAGCTATTTCGCATTTTCAGTTATAAACGATAAAATATCCAAATTTCCACATTGATGTTTTTTGATAAGAATTCTTGCTATAATTCAAAAACTATAAATGCTAGGAAAAAAATGTTTGACTGAAAATTGTTTACAATAAGCCAATAAAACATTACCCGCAAGCAGTAATAACCCAATCATAATTATTACTAACGTAACGAATTTAAAATCCGAAACTGTTCAAATTTGATACATTTAGCAACAAAATGGTTTTTATCTCAAGAATTAAAAGTTGTGGATGCAAATATTATTAATAAAAATTGTTTATAATACATCGCAAATACATTATTCATAAGCGATTTTCTTTTANTATTTTTGCTTCTTGAATAACCACGACATTGTTCCCAATATATTTTAAACCCCTTTTCGGCCGAATTCCTTATATATTCAGGTATGTTAAATAATTTATTTCTAAGTCGCACCAATTTATGTCGATACATATAAATGTGTTGATGTGTACCTCGACGAATTAAATGAACAGTGAATAAACCTCGGAAAAAAAATCCCAAAGAAACCGTACATAATATATAAACAGCCCATACAAGAGTGTAATATAATTGGTTTTCAACTCTTCGTTCGTTAATATGTTGCATTGATGATATTAATCCTCTCAAAAAATTTTTAGCATCACACGCCGATTTTACACAGATTTCTCCCCCGCAAGCCATTGTGCAATAAACACAAAATCTAATAAATCCAAGTAAAGTAAATAACAAAGAATAATCAACGATGTACATCAAAATATGCCTGCTTATATGATTATAAGATTTATATAGCATATAACCCAATCGAACGAATCTAAACGCTCGATTCACTCTCATTACACACAAATAATTCTCGTTACCAGAATAAAGTAATTCTTGGGGTATTAATGAGTAAATATCGCATATTACCACAAATGACGGTCGTCTTGTGATTTCTGATTGAGTTAATTTTAATCGTTTTGCAAATTTTACTACAGCCGCTAACATTAAATCGACTACATAAACGGCGTCAATTATCATATATAATTCTAAAATAAAAAAATGTCATATAAAAAGCGTTATTTCGTATTAATTTTTTACCTCGACTTCGATTTGTACACTGGAAATTAATCGCGCTAAAAAGACAATCCAAAACCATAATGTAAGTGATTATAGATAATGTTATATACCAAACTGGTTCTGATTGCAGTTGAAAAATTACTAACCATGGTTTTACTTCGAGGGGTTTATAACAAATTTGTTCTACTGCTGTTGTTGTATCATCATCAATATACTTTAATTTATCTCTTCTAAAAAGATCAGCGGACAGTTTCATATTGTTTTGATAGGTGACAGATTAAAATTTGATCGTTTTAGATTTTAAGAATTCAAAAAATCGTATCTCAAAAACGAATGGAGATTTAAGGATGAAATAAAAGACGTTTTAAAGAAAACTTAATAAAAATTTAGTGTGGCATAAATAAATTTTTAATTTCTATAAACACCGTTGTTATCATTTTTTGAGCACAACTCTGCATGTTTGATTGTTATAGATATGAAATATAACTTTTAAAAGATTGTATCTCAAGAACGAATTGAGATATCAAGTTGAAATAAAAAACGTTTTAAAGCAAATTTAATGTACCATAAATAATTTCTTAGTTTCCAGAAACATCGTTGTTATGATTTTTTAAACCGAACTCTGCATGTTTGATTGTTATAGATATGAAATATAAATTTTAAAAGATCGTATCTCAAGAACGAATTGATATATCAGGTTGAAATAAAAAACATTTGAAAACAAATTTAATGAAGATTTAATGTACCATAAATAATTTCTTATTTCCCATAAACATAGTTGTTATGATTTTTTAAACCCAATTCTGCATGTTTAAATGTTATAGATATGAAATATAAATTTAAAAAGATCGTATCTCAAGAACGAATTGAGATATCAAGTTGAAATAACGAACAATTTAAAGCAAATTTGATGAAGATTGAATGCACTATGAATAATTTCTTATTTTCCATAAACATCGTTGTTATGATTTCTTAAACCCAACTCTGCATGTTTGATTGTTATAGATATGAAATATAAATTTTAAAAGATCGTATCTCAAGAACGAATTGAGATATCAAGTTGAAATAAAATACATTTTAAAGCAAATTTAAGGAAGATTGAATGTACCATAAATAATTTCTTATTTCCCATAAACATCGTTGTTATGATTTTTAAACCCAACTCTGCATGTTTGATTGTTCTAGATATGAAATACAAACTTTAAAAGATCGTATTTCAAGAACAAATTGAGATATCAAGTTGAAATAAAAAACATTTTAAAGCAAATTTAATAAAGATTTAATGTACCATAAATAATTTCTTATTTTCCACAAACATCGTTGTTATGATTTTTTAAACCCAACTCTGCATGTTTGATTGTTATAGATATGAAATATAAAGTTTAAAAGATCGTATTTCAAGAACGAATTGAGATATCAATTTGAAATAAAAAACATTTTAAAGCAAATTTAATTAAGATTTTATGTACTATAAATAATTTCTTATTTTCCACAAACATCGTTGTTATGATTTTTTAAACCCAAATCTGCATGTTTGATTGTTATAGATATGAAATATAAATTTTAAAAGATCGTATTTCAAGAACGAACTGAGATATCAAATTGAAATAAAAAACATTTTAAAGCAAATTTAATGAAGATTGAATGTACCATAAATAATTTCTTATTTCCCGTAAACATCCTTGTTATGATTTTTTAAACCCAACTCTGCATGTGTGATTGTTATAGATATGAAATATAAACTTTAAAAGATCGTATTTCAAGAACGAATTGAGATATCAAATTGAAATAACAAACAATTTAAAGCAAATTTGATGAAAATTGAATGTACTATGAATAATTTTTTATTTCCCATAAACATCGTTGCTGATTTTTTAAACCCAACTCTGCATGTTTGATTGTTATAAATATGAAATATAAATTTTAAAAGATCGTATCTCAAGAAAGAATTGAGATATCAAGTTGAAATAAAAAATATTTTAAAGCAAATTTAATGAAGATTGAATGTACCATAAATAATTTCTTATTTCCCATAAACATCGTTGTTATAATTTTTTAAACCCAACTCTGCATGTTTGATTGTTATAAATATGAAATATAAATTTTAAAAGATCGTATCTCAAGAACGAATTGAGATATCAAGTTGAAATAAAAAACATTTTAAAGCAAATTTAATGAAGATTGAATGTACCATAAATAATTTCTTATTTCCCATAAACATAGTTGTTATGATTTTTTAAACCCAATTCTGCATGTTTAAATGTTATAGATATGAAATATAAATTTAAAAAGATGGTATCTCAAGAACGAATTGAGATATCAAGTTGAAATAAAAAACATTTTAAAGCAAATTTAATGAAGATTTAATGTACCACAAATAATTTCTTATTTTCTTAGTTTTTGAGCCTAACTTGGCATGTTTGATTACCAAAAATTTTAAAAACAGATATTAAAAAAGCTGTATCTCAAAAACTAATTGAGATATCGTTATGAAATAAAAAGCAATTTAAAGCAAATTTATATAGCACTTCATATTTTGAAGGCCATTTCTTGGAATCGTCAAATTTCGGAGAAAGGATTATTTGAAATCAACGTTGCATAAGCTCAACATAATTGCTACGATAATTAATCTTTACGTATCTCAAAAACTAAATGAGATATCCTGATGAAATAAAAAGCAAATTTATATAGCACTTAATATTTTGAAGATTATTTCTTGGAATCTTCAAATTTCGGAGATAGAATTCTTTGAAATCAAGCTTGCATAAGCTCAATATAATTGTTACGATAATTAATCTCTACGTATCTCAAAAACTAAGTGAGATATCCTGACGAAATAAATAGCAATTTAAAGCAAATTTATATAGCACTTAACATTTTGGAGATCACTTCTTGGAATCTTCAAACTTCGGAGAAATTTTTATTTGAAATCAACCTTACATAATCTTAAACATAATTATTACGATAATTGATCTTTACGTATCTCAAAAACGAATTGTGATATCCTGGTGAAATAAAAAGCAATTTAAAGCAAATTTATATAGCACTTAATATTTTGAAAATCATTTCTTGGAATGTTCTAATTTCGGAGTTATGATTTTTTAAACTCAACCTTGCATAATCGTAAACATAATGTTACGATAATTAATCTTTACGTATCTCAGAAACTAATTGAGATATCGTTTTAAAATAAAAAGCAATTTAAAGCAAATTTAATAAAGATTTAATGCACCATAAATAATTTCTTATTCTCCATAATCATCGTTGTTATGATTTTTTAAATACAACTCTGCATGTTAGGTTGTAACACATATGAACAATAAATTTAAAAAAAATGTATCTCAAGAACGAATTGAGATATCATCATGAAATAAAAACCAATTTAAAGCAAATTTATACAGCGTGTCTCGTATCTTCGGCATCAGGAACTTTCCGTGTCGAATCTAGCACCTCGGAGTTGGCACAACCCAATATTAAAGCAGGGTTGGAACAGTTTACGATTATATTATTTATTTCAATTAAACAAAAGCTGTCAATTGTCATGATATGTCACAATCTAAAACCCAAAATTTTTTTTTGGCTATGTTATGAAATTCTCTGTAAAAAAGTGTCCATATAATGTTTTAGTTATAATACTCCACCTATAATAATAACCAAGATAATTGCACTTGTTGGTTTTACGATATTTTCAATTTTGGCCTCTAGGGGAAAAACAAAAGACGATAGCGCTTTGAGGTTTTCGGCACTAGCAGTTTCTCGAAAAACGAGATCATGACATGTAAGCTACTTTTTTTCTAACTCTTATAGTTTTCGAGTTAGCCTATTCGAACATCGAATTTGAACCACCCTGTACAGTTTTAAATTAACTTGAAATAAAAAAAAATTGTAAAACTTTAACTTACAAAAAGTTTAATGTAAAAGTCTGATTTTAAAGGTTAAGTGAATTTAGATTGAAATTCTAATGTGTTTTGAGGTGTTTATAAACGGTGCTGTTTTTTAAACAGCAAATTAAAATAAACCACGCTAAAAAATACATCGTTTTTCGTTTAGTATCGATATCAATCTGTAAAGCTGCATGAGAAGTGAATGTCAGCTATTATTTTATAGTAATATGTCATAAAGTCATTAAAGGAGAGTTTCACCTTAGTCGGAAACATAAACATTGTGGAAATGTTGTCTTTAGACGAAAACCTATACCATGTTGCAAGATTCTTCAGAAATAAGTTCGAAGTTCAACTTCGAACACACATTACTTCTAACTTTCTAAAGGAACTTTGAAGCGAGATTACAGATTTATTTATTTTTATCGAGCGTTTCGGTTTAGAACTTTGAAATAAACTGAAATGCTGTTACTAAACTATAGATGGAGCAGCATGAAACTTCTTGAGATATTAAAACTGAAGAATTTTGAAAACTTATTGAACTAGGCTCTCGGTCTAATAACTACCGCTTTTCAATAATTGTGTGGTTTACCATGTGCTGAAAATTCCATTATTTAGAAATAAAATTAAACTAGAAACCTTCGAATTATGCCATGTGTTTATTAAAACATTGTTTGACATTGCAACACGGCATCCGAAATGTTTATAAAACAACGTTTATATTACTAACACTGGCATACGAAGTTATAATTCCATTACATATTAATAACAATTAAACACTGAAAAAAATATTTCTAAATAAATCATTTTAAAAACATTACTTTTCTTCACGTAAAGCCATCTTGTCAAGAACGAATTTAAATGAGCCGTTATAAATTTGTTCTTGTTATTAATGCATGTAATATTCAACAAAAAGTGAAAATTGCACCGAAAATAATAAGGTTTAGAAGAAACGAAACTATTTTTATCACTATGGATGATAATTTTTAAAATACTTTATATTTTATTTGATTATCTTATAAAGCCTAAACAATACTTTAAAAATGTAATAACAATAAACGATACTTGAATTGGTATTTACAAAAATAAAAATAATACCTAAATTACATAATATATTTACATTTCTTTTATGTATGTTATTCTTGAAATAAACTCTTCAGTTGAAAACAATGCGTATGGGATACTTTAGACACTTAACATTAATCTATATTTACCTAGCGATCTATTTTGCTACTCTACCTAATCTATCGATCTAAACTATTATCTATAAATTATCAAACAATAGTATTCAGTATTTATTTAATACGATATTATTTATTTTAATCTGTTTTTAAATATAGTCGACCTGGAATTTTTGGGATTGTAGAGGGAGATCTCCGGACGTGATTTGGAGCAATTACAATATATGTAAATTGCGATATATGCACTGACACCAAGTTGAATGAAGACATTGTCGAAATGACAAACATTGTTTTGGCAATATTTCGTCGGGTTCTGCAAAAATTTTATACGGATCTTCACTCTTTGGCATGAATTACTTAAACCCCATGAGCATGCCACTCTATGAAGCAGGACCATGTTTCTGTTAGGTGGTAGACTTGACAGAACCGGAAGCGCTTATGATTCAATCGGGGGAAAGTCAGACACATCAAAGTGGTTTGCGGAAATCCAGCACACTACATCCTGTATTGTGATCTTAATGTAAACCCACGTAGCGTTCAATATGATTTAGGAAGCTACACCACAACAGAGATCGAGAAGAACTAGGTAGGTTCGCGGAAACCCTTGGCGCAGATGTTATCTGGTTCCCTCACTACTATAACATTAAAACCAAAAAGTATGGTGCGAGAGAAGATTTCATCTAGCTGCGAAAAATGACACTTGATGATTGTAAACAATTTCTTAATACGAAATAAATCAAGAAGTCGTTTCCAAAAGACACTAGATTACGTGAAGAACTGATCCAAGAATTCAATAGGAGGGTTTTAATCACAAGACATCTTAACACCAAAGCAATCAAGTGGAAAATGAAAAGAACGAACTCTATGTAGAAGTGATTCCATCTAGGATTTTGTATCTAACTACGTTACAGATCCTGTATAAGATTGATCATTTCATATCAGCTATACCGCCAAGGAGATTAAAACAGCAACATAGATACAAGTTTCAATCCTGACATCCGTTGGAATGTTACTTAATTAAACGCAAAAACTTTTAATGGTAGTGACAATGACAAAGATAAAGTTCTGTCCAGATGAAATGATGCGAAATTTGTGGTCCATGGCTAAAATAAAATAATTAAAGTGAGCAATAAAAACGAAAATGATCTGAGAAACCCTTGAGACAGCGTTATCTGTAGATGATGTTGGTATTCACCGAATTAGAAGATTTTGTTTATACGAGTTCGAATAAAAACCGGAAAGATATTGCTCCTGATGGTCTCCCTGCGGAAACAATACCTATTAAAGAATGAAATGTTCCATCAAGCCTGAACGAAATAGTTGGTTGTATTCTTAAAATACAAAACATACAGGATGGTTCATTTAACAATTAAAAATGAACCAAATGAAAGTTGTTCTGTGCAAAGGGGGAAACCATATGACGATAATGACNACTATCTGTACCATTCTTAAAAATAAAGAGAAAATTAAAAGCATAGATGCAGCAAAGGGTCTCACAGTAAACGTATCAACGAAGCAAAGACCACGTGTGATGGAAGAAGTAGAAAAATTGTTATTAGTGTGGATAAACGAAAAGCAACTTGCAAGCGATAGCATTAGCGAAGGCATTGTCTGCGAAAAGGCCAAGATGTTACATGCCAATTTATTAAAAGATATGCCAGATTCTTCAAGTGATTCTGCTGAATTTAAAGCAAGTCGAGGATGGTTTGAAAAATTTAAGAGAAGAACGCGAATACATAGCATCTTCCGTCATGGAGAAGCAGCCAGTGCCGATATACTATCAGCAGAGGAATTTATAAGTGAATTCAAAACACTTATTGAAACGGAGCAGTACATTCCTCAGCAAGTCTTCAATTGCGATGAAACCGGTCTCTTCTGGAAAAAATGCCAAATAGAACGTTTGTCACACACGAGGTGACCAAGTTACCAGGTCATAAACCAATGAAAGACCGTTTGACAGTGCTCTTTTGTGCAAATGCGAGCGGCGACAAGAAGATAAAGCCACTCGTAGTTTACTCTTCGGAGAACCCGAGAGCGTTTAAGAGATGCAAAGTGCAAAAAAGTAGACTACCCGTAATGTGGAGGTCAAACAGGAGAGCATGGGTCGATGAAGTGCTTTTTACAGAATGGATAAACTCTGCTGCTGGTCCTGAAATAAGACAATATCTGCTTGATAATAACCTTCCGTTAAAAGCAATGCTGCTTATGGATAATGCGCCTGCTCATACAAAAAGAATTCAGGATAATATTAAGAAAGAATTTAACTTCATAAAAGTAACTTTTCTTCCCCCCAACACTACTTCCCTCCTGCAGCCAATTGTATACAAAGGGCCTTTTTAAGCTTTGTTTTGACATAACTGAAACTACGCAACTTACCCTAAAAGAGTTTTGGAAGCATCACTTTGATATTATTGCATGTTTGAAATTAATTGACAAAGCTTGGAAGAAGGAGGTAACAAAAAGAACATTAATCTCTGCTTGGAGGAAATTGTGGCCTGATATGGTTCAAAATCATGAAATGGAACCTATTTCAAAAGAAACAGAGCCTTATGAAGAAATTATGTCTCTAGGAAGATCTCTTGGTCTTGAAGTAAACGAGTCAGACATTAATGAACTCATTGCAGAACATAACAAGGAACTCAGCATTGATGAGTTGAAGGACTTGCATATGCAACAATATGAGCTAGAAGAGGTAGACGAAGACAAAGAAGTAGAAAGTGAGAAAAAAAGACTGACATTGGCTGAGATTAAAGATCATACTTCCATGTGGCTAAAATTAAAGACGTTTGTAGAGGATCATCATCCAGATAAAGCAGCAGCTTGTAGGGCAATCGATTTATTCGATGATGTTGCCATGGCTCATTTTAATAACGTATTGAGAAGCCGCCAAAAACAAACGTCAATCAATGATTTTTTTAAGAGAAAACTGGAAGAAAACGACTCCACATTAGCTAAAAAGGCGAAAAAAAATGAAGAAGAGAAACTCATCATCGAAGAAAGCAGCAGCATCAGCGAATAAAACCCCTACACGATCTTGAAAATAAAAAAAAATTGAAAAGAATATTAATTTTTGTTATTCATTACCCTTATTGTAGTTATAAGTAAATAAATTTGGATATTATTGGACAGATTTTGTTTTTTTCTTTACCATTTTTTAGTCTGGAACTAATTATGTAATTGCATTTACATTGTTTCTTATGAGAAAACTCGTTTCGGGTTACGAGTATTTCGGGTTACGAGCAACCTGCCGGAACGAATTAAACTCGTAACCCGAGGTTCCACTGTATAGTGTTATATTTTAAAAATTTGTGAGTGTCAAAAAAGGTGAAACGACTTTACCTATTTATGGCAAAACATTTTAACAAAAACCACGTGGGAGTGACTGAGGGACTGTTTCCAAAAAATAGAAATGGAAGGTGGTGATTCTACCTGCCTATTCGATTTTTGGTATAAGTAACTTACTCAAATATATTTCAATTAAAAACTTTGAGTTTATTATTTGTATTTTTTTTATAATTTTTAATAATTATTACAATGAAAATTACGAATAATGAATTTTAATACGAGTAACATTGACGATACTTGCGGAGTTAGCGACAAAACGAACGTAATGGAATTAAAACTCGACCGAACTAACTTACTTTGCCTCTATTTATTGCTAAATATAGTCAGCTATGTTCTCAATAAAAAGGGTTAAGGAACTGCTACAGATGTTAACTCTAGAATACCCAATATTTTATCTGGTCCGCACCCAACAAGTAACGCTTTGGAATGTGTCTCTAGCAAGGTCCATTCGTTCGTATCTGAACCTTGCGGTGGAATAGTAGGTAGAGAGTGGGGCTACGGATCTTGCTTTCGCACTACTCCCCACACACACACTCACATACTAAGAATAAGTACTATAAAATCAACTCTGAAACGCACAGTCTGTACAGTGGCAGTGTTTGCACGTGTAAACTTTAATAACAAGTTGTAATTCAAAAATTAAGAAAAATATTTAAAAAAATTAAATTCAAAAATTAAACTTAAACAAAAAAAAAATGTCGATAGTTTGTAGAGTGTTAGTGAATAATGCGAAATGTAGAACGATCGCGACTTTCCCCGGAAGAAGAAGCCAAAGTACCAAACTAAAACCCCAATTGGCTACAACCAATGGGTTTTTAAAATCTTCATTTTTGGATGTGCCAATTCCCGAAACAAATTTGGCGGAATACGCTATGGAATTTTATGGGGATTATGCCGATAGAATAGCTTTGGTAAGTTTTTTTTCTATGGGTTTCTCGAGGTTGCTCGGCTATTTATAGACATTTCTTGGGGAGTTGGGGGAAGGAAGAAGAAAATGTATGTATAAGAGATAGTTGCAGTCAACGACTTTCCTTAACTTGAGCGGGAGATTTTTTTTTTTTAATAAAATTAGTAATTAATATTCATCATAGCTGAGAAAACAGTTTTGTTTTAATTTTTTTTTAAATGAATTATTCAAAGTGTTATTGCATTTGCGAGAATTTGTAATAAGGTTGAGAAAAATTTACATCGCAATTATACAAGGCTATTGCATTTAAATCATTGATAACTATCAATTAAATATTGCTTTCATTATTTATTATTTTTCTTTAACGATTAAGTAAATAAAATCGTCAATTAAGATCGTCATCAACTCGATCTAATAAGTTATCGATGAAGATGTTTTCGTAATGAAATGCATTTATCATATTTTATTAAATACATATTGTTATCGTGATTACGCCTTTGGCCCATTTTTATTTGCGCGCGAGTTCAAAGTACAAAATTTTAAAAACGACGAGTCAATGAAGATAAAATCTTACAATAATCTCGTGTTAAAAAAACGCGACGTATTTATACCACTCATCATATCTCTAAAAACATCTCATGGGATTAAAAAATCAGACAGAAAGTTACATCAAATGAAAAATGTGTTATGATAAATTATTAATTATTGATGTAAATGTTGTTTGTTGTTTTAAATTTCTATGTTTATTACATCCAATTATCTATTTTCGGATATTAATTTAATTAGAAGTCGACAACCTCTCCTTGGTTTTAGCATAAATTATTTTTGTTGGTTACAAATTATTGACGTCATTACTTGCAATTATTTATTTTTTGATTAAAGCAAAATATTAAACATAAATAAGGAAAAGTTTTTGGCGATAACACAACTTTAAAATGTAATAAATAATATATTTATTATTATTTAATTTTTAATAGGAATGCGGAATAACTGGAAGAAACTACACATTCGATGAGGTTAGAGTAAAGTCAAGAAATCTAAATAAAACTTTACGGAAGAAATTAAAGTTACAAAGAGGCGACGTTGTTGCTCTATTCTTGCCAAACATTCCAGAATTTCCTATTTGTGTCTTCGGAAGTATTTTAGCCGGGTTAAAAGTGACAACTTTAAATCCTGCTTATACGCCAGGTAAATCCTAATTTAATTTAATTTGAAAAAAAAACTCTTCAAGTTTAATAACTAATAAACAAATACATTTATTTATAACACATGATAAGACAAATTTATGATAAGAAAAAAAATTTGACCGGGGGGCAAAATATTAATACAATGTTAAGATAAATCTTTTATGATCCTTAATTATCCTATTCGAGATAATAAAAATGTTATCTGCCTTTTATTGAATTAACATAATTTGGGTAATCTTACATTCATCATTTTTTAACTACGTCTCATCCAGACGATTGTTGTAAATCAAATAATAATAATTATTAATATAAAAAAGTAAAACGAGGAATTTATGAAGCCTCTTTATATTGACTCAGAGAACACAAATAAAAGAAAAACAAAAAAATTAAACAAAATATATACTGAAACTAATAGAAACTTTAAAAACACTACCAACAACTAGCAAATATGTAAGTTACAGCCACAGTGATAAGGTGAGGGAATTAAATCAAGAATTTATATCTCATTGCACTCTTGGGTGCTGAAGGGACGACATCATTTCTTTCAATAAAGAAGGTACACACACACGTTACTGCAAATGTATCATATTACGAGTAACTAATATGATACGTTTAGAAAAATCAGATTAATCACAGAAGACGCAATGTCTTGTCAAGGGCTTATGCTATTTGCATAATCACTACGTGGCTATAAAAAATGTTCAGCTTTTACACATACCACAGAAAACTGCGATAGACACTTGACATGCGGAAAATGCAAAGGCAACCACAACACAACGAAATGCAATCCGTTACTACCAGAAACCTGCCTAGCAAGCCAATTTCAACCTATTATTGTATAATAGATACTTATATTGTGTACTAACTCAATAAACCTAAAAATGTCAACAGGCAAAAGTTAATTGAAAGACTAAAAATAAAATTTGCGGAACAATTTAACATAGATACGTACATTTGTAAATATATCAACAAATTGAGCAGACATAGTTATTCTGGACCGACTTAACACCCATACAACGGTGGAATTTTTGGAGTAAATGCATTAGCAATCAAACATCATCATCAGGAGCATGAGACAAACAAGTAAGAATAATAACTACAATAAACATTTCATTAATGTGACTTACGTCAATATCAACGACTTCAAAAACAAAAAGGTTTAAATCTATAATTTGCTTCAAGAACACGATATAGACCTCTTAATGTTTGTGAAGGCTGAAATAAAAAGTGACCAATAAATATGTTATAACAATTGGCAGATGATACACCGCAGCTAATATTAAAGTAAAGTAAATCCTCCATCCATTACCACTTTAAGGATCAACGCCGTATATACACGCAATATCGGAGGTACGTGTAGGGACCAAATCCGCATGATAAAATTGTAATATAGTGATATCACTATGGTGTCCATATGAAAATCTGTCAAGTGGTACAAAAAAGTTTCTTTCCACTTACTTGAATTAGCTGGTCTCAATACATAAGCGTTATACAAAATGAAATGTACAAAAAATATCAATTTATAACATTTTCAAAGAGAACTGGTAAATCATTGATAAACAAATATAAAGGTGATGATGATAAATGTATAAAAAGCTCAAGATCTGAATCACACTCTCTCTTGAGGATAACTGCACCATGACACTTTCCAGACACGAATACCCATCGCAGTCGGTGCCGAGGTACGGCTACCAAATCCGGCTCGATCCTGACAGGGTTAATAACCCTCTCAATGTGTGTCTCTATTACACCATCCCATTTAATTCAGATATCTTCCTTGTGTATATCCACTTTCATTCCCCCCTCAAAAGATTTTCAACAAAGCAACGCAATATAAATAGCTAATAATAATAATAGGTGATTTGCTGCAGTCGTTTCTGAACAACTCCAATTTTATAAAAAGATATACAAATCCCACATTTCTAATGCCGGCAAACAACGACAGAACTCCGGATGTACCTACTTATCCACATGACTAATACATGAGTAATTAAGTTCAAAATCTCCATCAATCAAACACTTTCAATGCAAACTGAAACATCAAAATATAATCTACTTAAGACGAATCTAGAAAAAGTAAATGAACATCTTTAATAATCACAAAATTCAAACAAGATTTCTAGAATTCCCTCATGCTTTCGATAAAACGTCACTCTCCTACTAAAATGATATATTCCTCATATATACAGGGTGTAACTTAAGTGATGACTTTAATTTCAAGGGGTGATTCCTTGTTATATTTTAAGCACAAAAGTTCATACGAACATGGGTCCGCAAATGCTTCGTTTCCAAGATATAGGAAATCAAATGCATTTCAGCTAATTCCTCGTTATTCATAGTTAACTGCAAAAGAACAGATATTTAACTGACAGTAATCTTGACACTTTTAATGTTCAAAATCAACAATGTCAACAAAAACAATGTGTTTTTATTTTAAATCTTAACATCAATAAGAATATCTTACATGTCCTAAAACGGTTGCTCCTATCGACTTCAATTAGGTATACCTTTTTTTTTGGTGACAAATTTTAATTTGTCATCCCAAAAAGTCCCTGTGTATGAAATTTCATGAACTTATTTCGAAAATACGATTTATTTTCTCAACTTTGACACCCTATATCTTGCAAACGAAGCATTTGCGGACCCATGTTCATATGAACTTTTGTGCTTAAAATATAACAAGGAATCACCCATTGAAATTAAAGTCATCACTTAAGTTACACCCTGTATATTCACTTTCCAACTACATACTCGAAATAATTCACAACAAAAGACGAACTATAGAGAAAACAAACGAACACAAATGCGCAAAAACATATTGGCAAAAAGAAGAAAGCTAAAAGATGTCTAAGAATATTGTAACTAAAATTAGACACCTAAACAATCCCCTCCACAATATTCCTAACGAGGTCTCATATACAAAAATCAAAACCGAATCAATTTGCGAAAGACACAAACGTTTAAGAGCAAATAAAAAAAAAACTATCCTCAATATCCTATACAAACTATTTCAAGCACGTGTGTATGAAGGAGAACCTAAGTCACTATATCAACTGTTAAAATATTACAGATAATTATTTTATTTTATTTTAAAGCAAATATATTATGTAATTAATCTGATAAAAATTATAGAATTGTTATTACAAGCGAAATGAAAAAAAAAAATAAAAAATTAAAACAATCACGTTATAAACACGATTTCTTTTTCAAATAGCCTCAAGCGAATACATAATGACCTTTAATATTGTATAATTTTCATTTGCATGTCGTTCAAAGTCCATTTCATACCATAATCAGTACCTAATCTTTATTTACATCCGCTTTTTATCATTGTTTTTTTCTTTTATAATCAAATTATTTATTTTGAATTTTAGATGAAATTCATAGACAACTCGTCGATTCTGGTGCGAAAATAATAATAACAATAAATCCATTGTACCAAAATTGTAATAAAGCAATCGACAAGTTGGATAAAAAAATTCCTATCAGTATAATAAAAGAAAAGGTAAATTAATAAAAATTATTGAGTTATTTACACAAAATTATTATTTTTTAGCAAGATGAACTTCTCCCACAAGGAACAATCAATTTTAAAGAACTCATCGATGAAAAATTAGATTTACCAGATATTACAAATTTATCACCAGATGATACCGCCTTTTTACCATATTCAAGCGGCACAACAGGATTACCAAAAGGTGTTATGCTCTCAAACAGAAATTTAGTTGGAAATATCCAACAAATTGGTTCGGATGAAACGAAATTTGCCAAATTACCAGACGGCTCACATCAAGATTGTTACCCATCCATCCTTCCTTTATTCCACATTTACGGTTTTACATCATCAGTGAGTTTATTAAGAACGGGATGTAAAACGGTTACATTAAGCAAATTTACACCAGAATTGTATATTCAAACGATCATAAAACACAAACCAAATATTTTAATGTTAGTCCCACCGATAGTTTTATTTTTAAGTGCTCATCCAGCGGTTAAAACTGAATATTTCGCAAATTTAGAAACGACTATGTGTGGGGCTGCTCCTTTAGGGCCTTTAGATGAGCAGAAATTCCGCGAAAAGGTTGCAAAACCTTGTACGATTTTACAAGGTTACGGTTTAACTGAAGCTTCACCAGTTGTGACTCAAATGCCAACAGCTTTACAAGGAAAATATGTTGGATCAATGGGTCATCCTGTGTCACTCACTGAAGTGAAAGTAGTCGATATTAACGATCCTGAACTAAAACATTTAGGTCCGAATCAAACTGGAGAACTCTTAGTGAAGGGTCCTCAAGTAATGCAAGGTTATCACAATAAACCGAAAGAAACCGAAGAAACTTTTATTGATGGTTGGTTAAGAACCGGGGATATGGTTTATTACAACGAAGATTTACTATTTTTCATCGCGGATAGAATCAAAGAATTAATTAAAGTCAAAGGATTTCAAGTTCCCCCAGCTGAATTAGAACAATTAATTCGCGATTTCCCGGGTATTCAAGACGCCGCGGTTATTGGAGTTCCCCATCCGATTAACGGGGAAGCTCCAAGGGCTTACATCGTACCCAAACAAGGGCAAAAGGTCGATGTTAATAAATTAAAAGAATTCGTTGAATCGAAAGTCGCTAAACACAAAAAATTAAGCGGCGGAATTTCTATCGTTGATAGTATTCCAAAAAATGCTTCAGGAAAAACATTGAGGAAAGAGTTAAAGAACAAATTTGAAAAAGAAGGAATTTAAAAAAATCTTGTTTTAAGTCACACATTCCTTTTTTGTACTCTCCCATAATATTGGGTTATGGTTTATTATATTTTAGATTAAGTGTATGTACATAACAATTTATGAAGATATTAATTAATAAGATTTTAATGTTTTAATTAAAATTAACACTTAATGTACAGAATTTTTTTTAATGTAATATAAAAATATATTTTTTAATAAATAAAACAGCGACTGTTTTTAATGGTTTTATAGATGTCCATAAAAGTTTGATTGACCAGAAAGCAACAAAAGGAAGAATACATTGTTTCTCTCAATAATAAAATGATAAAACGCAAACTGGATTGATGTAATCTATTTGCCAATAAAATGAAAAGTAACGATGATAGCAAATGTTTAATAAAATTTTATACAGGAAATATAAATATTGAAATCCTGGAGAAATCTTACTATAAATGTTTGCTTATCAAACTTTGGACGTGTTTGTAAACAAAAAATTTTGCAACTTAAAATCCTCATTATCACAGTATTTGTACAGTTGCAGCAGCTGTAGTATGATTAGGGATGAAATGGCTATATGGCAGAAAATTGAGCGCTTAGATATATGATACTGATACAGCCACATATTGTAATTATGTTGGTGGCCGTCAATGTTACATTACAAGGTGCTTATTTCTTCTGTTAACAGCATAAAAAAGCAGTTTTAGCATTGCCTTGACCAAGTACTTTTAACAGGTTAGTATCGATACAACATATACCTAGCATTATGATGATCAGTTTCAGTTTGATATGATAATAATTGTAGAACCCCGTCTACAAGCGATCTGGGCTTAATCAGGCGAGATCATGCAATTCCTATTGTTATTAAAGTCGAGGTAGGTTGCGGCCGAGGAACAGCAATGTGTTTGTCTGATTGATTTGATAGTAATTGTAGACCTTCGAACATACGCCACCTCAACTTAATAAGACAAAATCATACACCTTTCATGATTATTAAAGTAGAGGCCGCTTGTGGCCGAGTTGCAGCTATGTGATGATGTGTTTCAGGTTGATATGATATTAATTGTAGAGCCCCAACCTCGGCTTAATCAGGAAAAATTTTGTTTCCTCTTCTGAGTTTAGCCAAGATTGCTTACGAAAGAGATGTTGCAGTTCATATCTACCAGTTTCGTTTTGAGATGATATTAATTGAACCTCAACCGTGAGCAACCTCGGCTTTTTTGGACGAAATAGCACAATCCCTATTCTAATTAAAAGCCGAGGTCGCTTGCGGCCGAGACGTAGGAATGCCCCATGATCAGTTTCAGGTTGATATGATATTAAATGTAGAGCCTCCTATTACCATCCTCTCTATTAATGTTGTTCTCGACAATATTTCAGTGGATGCACAGCACGTATCGATCAGTTTCGACGTGGAATCACATTTTATTAAAATGCCGGTAAAAATACCATGGACGGTCTGTGATGAACATTTGTCAACGATTAACATACGGTGGAAAGGGGAATTTTGCTAGCAATTTGAGGAAGAAACCAAGGGATCGCCAATTTGTATATGAAGCTGTAGTAAGAAGCAGCTTTAAAAACCAATCATTGGAAACCAAAGTTATGGCTATGTTATGTCGTATGGAAGCATAGCGGACGAAGGGTTAAGGATTTATTAAATCATTTAAAACAGCCAGCATTCAATGATGAAGGATCCATGGTGAGCTTAATCATAAAAAGATCTCGCAAATTATCATTACAGTTCAATTTACCAGGAATGTTTAAATCGATCGTCTTGATGTTATCTTTTCTCCACCAGGAATACGATTTATAAGACCTATCAACAGCTAAAACATATCCTAGCTCTCTCAACCGTCGTCATCTGTATGAGTTCTTAAGATAAATGATGTATTTTGAAATGTTCAAATAAAGTTTAATAAATTCATAAAAACCACAATAACAAGAATAAATATTGACAAAAGTATCAATCAGAATAGTAGGTATTTGCCGATTGAGGAACCGTGCAAGGTCAAGGTCACGACGGAGGAATTTCAGGAGGAGATTCATCAATCGACAAGTAAGAATGAAGCTCAAATTGTGTAACCCTGCTGTGTGAATCTGTATGACCTTGACCTACACCATAAATCACTCATCATTACGATCGTACTAAGTGGCCTTCATCTTGAGATCAAGGTTAATTATAACCTAATCATGGTCAGTACCTTTATTTTGATCTTCACTCGTCCTCTATATAATATTACGATCAAGTTCGGTTTGTCAATTTTTATACTCAGCAAATCATTTCACCAGTTTGTGTGTTCCAAGTAACTTGTGTAAGCCATGGTGGATTGGAAGGGTATGTTCCTCTGATAGTGGTGAGGGAATTTTGGGAGGTAATTAGATAATATGATGTATAATTAATTTGGAATAAGGTTTGAATAAAAGTATCTTCCCCCACCTCTGAGCAGTTGAGCTTTATATTGGAAACAAACATTTTTTTCTATCATCATTCGAGATAAGACAGTAGTAACAATGTTTGTTACAAAATGTACACACGTCCAGATAATCTTGGAAGGCATCAGAGAACGACATGCCTCGGGAAATAACAAAAAAATGAAGATGGCCAACAGTCAAATTTAGTGTGAAGTATGTAACGCACCTACACAGCAACAACCACAAGCATAACGCCTTTGTTATAATAGATGATGTGTAGAGAAAATTGATACTATATTTCGAGATAAAATATGTATTTTGGACGACATTACGTGGATGTGGTGGATTTTGCTAACAGTATTACAAAAAAAGTTATTACTTTCATTTAATCACTAATGAAGCTTAAAAAAATATAGAAAGTTTCGGTATTTACTTCCACAATTCTAAAGAAGTGGAAATAAATCATTTAACACAAAATACAAAATCAAATTTATTTTTGATCGCAGTCAAAGTAACCCTATTCAAGCTTAACACTCAATATAAGATCGCATAATGATGCCCATAATTTTAGTATCAGGGAGGTTAGAGCGAGTTAGATCAACCTGTTAGAAACCACATATCAGAAAAGAACCTAAACAATACCAAGTTCGTACGGGGCAACTTTCCACTACATCCTTAATAACTATAATTGCCAACAAGAACAATTCGGGACTGCTCAGAAATTCCTTCACCATTTCAAGAAACCAACATGTTTAAAAATGTGCACTTGCATAAAACTAAATCGACTTAAGAACTCCTTAAAGAACTTGCCTGGAAACAAAAGCTCTCAGAATGACAATGAATGATGAATTTGTATGGGAATCGTCTAATTTAATAGTATTAAAAATTCTATCATTTTAATGACACCATGGAAACACGATGTCATTCTGGTTTGTCATAACTAGCTCGCAACGTTTGAACAATGGTCGGAAGGCCCTGAACATGAAGTTCTTGTTACCAGCAGCAAAACAGACAGTAAGCTCGATCTATCGTGCACAATTTGTTCTGAAAAGAAGTTTTATTCCTAGAGACATTCATATACTATCTCCAAATACTTGTATGTATAATCTTACATCTAAAAACCGGTTTGATACGGTGGCAATATGCATTGCGTTGTCATCGTACATAACTATTTATGTGATCGAAAAATATTCCAAGCCCTAGACAACACGGAAAGCACATTTATGGCTAAAATCAGTCAAGGCAAAAGCCGTATTTGAAATAGAAAGAATTTTACAAAAGCCTTTTTTTTAGATTATAGAGCATAAACATAAAACTATATGAGGATAATACAATTTCATATATTAACCCTCGGATTTTCACAAAGATGATTTTGAGACTATCCTTATTTACTAAAAACATGAAAAAACTTGTGAGCTTAACACTGGTAGCGGTTACTATTCCTGCTAAGACTAATTGTAAGTAAGGAATGCCAAAACCACCGTTTTTGAAAAATTGTGCGTTCCAAAAAAACGCATTAACCCCTTTGCCAGCGCGCTATCTCTCGATTGTACGGGCCGTAGTAATCAAGAAAGCCACTCGCGTGTCATTCCATTCGGCTGATCAGCCGTGTGCCCAAAGTTGCAGAAAATGTATAATTCCTCACCACGAGTCAAACTTGTTATTTTTGCTTATGGTAGTAATCATAATAATAATAATTCCTTACCACGAGTTAGACTCGTAGTTTTGGCACAAAGTCGTTACCACGAAATTCACTCTTTCTTACACCTCTATCACACCGTAGATTACGGAAGAAAAACTAGCTTTTCTCATATATTTATGTCAATCATTACAAGACGTAGCACAAATTTAAAATCGATAGATATTAACTTATATACGCTTACCTTAATTCAAACATGTTTTATTCGCATATTTCCTTTCCAAAATATTAACCCATTTCCGCAAACCTGCTTTCCTACTCCATTTACCAACTTTATCAATTTTCAACTTACGTTTGTCTCTATATATGTTACATCTTGTTAGTTACATGATTACAAAAAATATGGGTCAAAAAAAGAGCTAATGAAATCTTAATTAACACGCGACGATACCGCGACGCTATTTTATTGGAAGCGACCACGCGGCGACCGATGAATTAGGAGCTCGTAGACCAACGTTACGCTACTTCAACGACACTGTAATAAAATGCCTCGAAATCGACACAAATAACATCAAAAAAGCTACTGACTTGAATCAGGTCGGAAACTGGTTGCCTGGAGACTCGACATGCTGAGTCGTCGGGAACCGGTTGCTTATGGTACAAGTAAAAACTAAATTTTATGTAACATAAAAATATATTTTTAAAAAAGTACAACAAAAACCCGATTTTTCACATTATTTTACACCCACCTGTCTCAAAACCCTAAAACGGACTAGAAATTTCATTTTTAGTCCTTTCTTCGTTAAACAAACCATCCGTTGTAAAGGTTTGATGTTTGATTAATTCCTTAAAAGCTCCATCGGGAATATTAACTAATTCGTTATAAGTCCCCTTTTCAACAATACTTCCGTTTTTAAGCACCGCAATAACATCGGCGTTTTGTATAGTTGATAAACGATGAGCAATCGTTAAAACAGTTCTTCCTTTCATAACTCTTTCCAAAGCCTCTCTTACCAAATACTCAGATTGAGCGTCTAAAGCGCTCGTCGCTTCATCCAAAAGTAGTATTTTTGGATTTTTTATTAACGCCCTAGCGATGGCTACTCTTTGTTTTTGTCCACCGCTTAACATGACACCTCTTTCACCAACGATCGTTTCGAATTTATGCGGTAGTTTTTCAACAAATTCTAAAACGTTTGCTTCTTTAGCAACGCGAATAAGTTCTTCTTCTGTGATGCATTCAGGATTGTCAGCGCCGTATAAAATATTTTCACGAATTGTGCAAGAAAATAAAATCGGTTCTTGACTAACGGTGCCTACGTGTTTTCGCAACCAAACCGGGTTAATCTCTTTAACGTTTTTTCCATCTAATAAAACACTACCTTGCGTAGGATCGTATAACCTCAATAACAAAGCGGCTAAAGTGCTTTTACCAGAACCGCTTGGTCCAACAACAGCTACGGTACCACCCGGGGTGATTTCTAAATCTAATCCTTTTAAAACTGAAATATCTCGTCTTGAAGGATAATTAAAATCTAAATTTGTGAATTGAATGTGTCCTTCCGGTGGATTTCGCGGGATTATCCCACCTGAATTAGCTATTTCTGGTTGACGGTCGATTAATTCCCATAATCTCGATGCAGCACCCAGTGATTTATTTAATTCAGAATAAAATGACGATAAACCACCCACGGATACCCCAATATACGCCGCGTAAAGTAAAAATGATGATAAATTGCCAACAGTTATTGTATTCGAGGACACCATAACTCCACCATAATATAAAACGGAGATTATTATTATATTTCCTGATAATCCAGTCTAAAAATTGCAATTTTTGAAATAAAATTGATACAACATTTTTAAATAAAGTTATTTTACCATTCCATAAAATAAAGCTCTTGCTTTAGATTCTTTGTACCCCAATTGAAGAATTTTAGTTATTTTAGATTTATAAGTAACTAACTCTTTAGATTCTTGCCCAAACGTTCTCACGGTTCTGATGTTTGAAATGCGTTCTTCAGCTACCTGAGTAGCATCGGCCAAGGCGTCTTGGACGGCTTTTGATATTTTACGAACAAAACGGCCATAAATTACCCCTACGATCGCTATTGGGGGTACAATTGCCAAACCAACTAAAGCTAACTCTGGGGACATATAAAACTGTGAAACAAAAACTTTTTGTAAATATAACTAAATCATCTTAAATAATTAATTAGGGTTTAATGAGGTGTTAATCAAGATTTAATCCGGTTTTATTTTTGATTTATATTTATGATTGATTGATTTATTAAGATTAATAATAATGAATGTAAAGGTTAATCGCATCCTTATTTGGATTGTTTTGAAATAACAAAAAAATAGGATGTGTCATTATAATTTTATTGTGTTCCAATACTTGACCTGAATTATCGAAAGAAATGTTATGAGTAAAAACAGGTTTCGGAGAATCGAAATTGTTAATCATTAAGAACACAATGTTTTCGTAATGTTACGCAACTATGTATGAACGGACTATAACTATGTATAAGCTACTATGCAGATTTTAGTTGCAAAGCGTTTTGTCAAGAAAATAGAGTTGATGAAGTAAAAAGGAATTGTATTGAAAGACTACGTAGGAGCCCGCATTAAAATCATTAGAGGAAGCTTTAAGGTATTGCCGTGTTCAACCTTCCATTTAAAATATAAACATTGAAATGATACTGAAGTACATTACATAATTTTGTGTTTGCCTTCAGTTCAAACTATCGGAGACACGGCACGAGAAGAATGGCAAGTACCGCCAAACTCTGTAAGCACTGACATGATAAAATTGCTTCAGCCAGAGCTTCCTATGTTTGTAAAAGCCTCCCTTTTCATCTAGAGAATGCCCCCAAATCAATGCAGAAGTTTTTTTGCGCTACTATACTGACTTTTCCAGAAATACTGAATCTCATTAACATAGCCTGGATTTTTTTGTGTCCGCGAAAACACTAGGAGGTGACAAGAACAGCATCAATGTCATCGTAAGCAAACTAAAAAATTCGCAGTATCTCGTTCTTTGCGTGGAAACAGCATAGATAGAAAGAGATGTAAAGGAATTCCTAGAGTCTAAATGAGGTTGTAACGTTTTTCGCGTATCTTCTTCTGCGACCGGGATTTACAGATTGCGAGAAATCTTGCAGGCTCGCGATCGCTGGTACATCAAAAGTAGTCGTGTTCTCTCTACTACAGGAATCGCAAGGACTGTATATACATGCGATTTGTCAAATTCGGACCTTTAAAAAAAGTAAGTTGTCGACCATGACAGTGAGTTTGGAAATCAAGGTTGAAATACTGATACGTTAGTTCTGTTCCTAACATCAGCGAAGTCTTAAAAAGACTATCGCAAAGGTTATTTCTTTAATAAAACCCTATACAAAACTCTAAAGCAGTGGTTTCCGACTTTTAGATCTGCGGAGCTATTTTTATTGTATTTTAAGTTTGAGGCCGGGGATAAGTTTCATGTGTGGACAATATTTTCATTTTTTGGCACATGACGTCTCATAACAGAAGTGCGCCTCGATCATGACCAAGTCGATGCTGCATTGGAGACATTACTGGTTTTCGAAAAAACCGTGGTCACGGGCAATTGGTAGACTAGTTTATCATTTTGTTTATCATGGCACTTAAAGCAAGAGCTACAAATAAATGTTGTTTCCTGGAGAGATAAACGGTACGTCTTAATATTCTCTACAAAGCACTCAGATTTGCAGATTTAAGTATGAAATCGTCGAGGACAAATAAAGAAAAAACCAGAAGTGATACTTGCTTACAATAAAGGGAAATCGCAAAACAATTGCTTATAGTTGCAAAAGTCGTGCTTCTCCAGCAGAAAAGTGAAGCAAAAATCGTTCTTCACGTCATTACACACCTTAATATCTGCAAAATTCTCCCATATTTTCGAGTCCCGTAAACAAAACGTAAACAAGCATTTTAAACTGTTTGTATCTTCGTTCGATGAACACTGTCAATACAACATAATTAAAGAATGAGAGAACCAACACATCACATAAACGTTCGGAGTTTCTGCTTCCGACGCAGAAGGTCACCGGCACGTGATCGAAATCTTAACTTGCTATCAGTAGTAACACAAAGATTTCTCGACCTCCCAACAACTTCAAAAATATCAGAGCCAACTCGTACTCTATTGTGCGGTGTGAAATAGGAAATGTGTAATAAACCAGAACCGAACACAGCTGAGAAGTGTAAATCGAAAGCAAAATAGGTCAAAATAAGTATGGAACCCTGTGGTACACCTTACCCTGTACAGACAGCTCTCCATTAAAAGTTACTTGCTATGATTGGCTGCAAAGATAGTTCTGCATAAGGTTATGCGCAGATTGCGATAATCCAATATATTGAAGCATTGCAACCAGTAAGCTGATGTTGCAAAGTACCAAATCCTTTCAAAAAGTCAAAAGAACAAGGATAGTGATCAATTTATTGTTAATTCCACGAAGTACATTATCAATGACATCCAAGTGAGCCATAGTACAACTGAAACTAGAACAGAAGTCCGATTGAAAAGTAGGAAATATTCTTTCTAACTTTAAAAAGTACCGATAAAATATTAATTAACTGCAGATACTGTAACTGAGAAACCTTACTAGTTTTAGGAACAACCCTTTCTTTGGTAAATTTATTACTTTTTTAATCATTATGTTAATCAATATTATAAAATTATTTTAACTTAGCAACTATCGGTTGAACGTGCTGATGTAATGAAATGTAACACTTGTTTTTCATGCATTGGACGTGACACCAACGATTTGAAATCAATAGAACTAAGTTGCTGTTGTCAGAAAAACATCGAAATAAAAATTAGTTGCGATTTGGTATTTATTCATCCTATTTCTTCCTTAAGAACCAAGAACCCTTTGGTTCACAATAAAATTCTGGTGTCAGGTGTGGGGTAATTGTTCCATATCAAAGAAATCTCAGGAATTAATAGTTCGCGTAAAACAATACCGAAACCCCAAATAGTCGAACAGAAATAAAATACAGCTAATTGGCCGCTATTTGTGAAAATCGCCAGTTTTGATTTTGAAGTCCTTTTGATTAGTGGTGGAACGGATATCCGGCAACTATCGCGATATTAAAAACCTATTACTTAGTACTCCACCATTCACAAGAATTAGTATCTCTTTTAGGTATTGGGTACTACAGATAATAATCAAGTTCAACCTCAACATGACTTTTTTCATTTAATACAACTTTCAACTATTCAATACGATATAAAATCTCTTGTTGCAGTTTCGTCTAGTTTTCGTCTCTTCGCTTGTAATTCATCATCACATTCATTACTAACAGAACTGTCGCTGTTATCACGATTATTAATTAAAGTATCGATATTTTCGATGTTGCTATTTTCATCGATAATTTTCAAAATTCGCTGTAAAATTAATTTCTTGAAAGATCCTTGTGGAAATATTACCAATTATAAATTAAAGTATCCTCTTTTCAATGCAAAAAGCCGTTTTGAAAAATCACTTTTAGTTTATGAGAAATAAATTTTTGAAATAATTTACAATTTTTTAGAAATTGCAATTTTCGCCGATTATGTTTTAAAAATTCGTATAAAATCCATTTCTTGGAATAAGAGTTTGAAAATTTCCCAAAGTGTTAATAAGAGTGTCCTCTTTCCAATAAACCAACTCGTTTTGAAAAATAACTTTTAGTTTTTGAGAAAACAATATTTGAAGTTTTGATAAAATTTTCGATGTTGCAATTTTCATCGATAACTNTGTACAGCAGACATATTAAACTAATACTATCTCTTTCCAACACACATTACTCTCTAGCGGTTTGTGAACTACGTATGGCATTTGTAAGAGCAGAAAATGATGATTTACTGCCAGCTCTCGTGGCGTCTACTATAATTAGCCGCTATTTGTGAAAATCGCCAGTTTTAATTTTGAAATCCTTTTGTTTAGTGGTGGAACAGATATCCGGCAACTATCGCGATATTAAAAACCTATTACTTAATACTCCACCATTCACAGGAATTAGTATCTCTTTTAGGTATTGGGTACTACAGATAATAATCAAGTTCAACCCCAATAGGACTTTTTTCATTTAATACAACTTTATTTATCATTAACAACCTCATTGTAACATTCCCAATACGATATATAAAATCTCTTGTTGCAGTTTCGTCTAGTTTTCGTCTCTTCGCTTGTAATTCATCATCACCTTTATTACTAACAGAATTGTCACTGTTATCACTTTCGATTATTAATTAAAGTATCGATATTTTCGATGTTGCAATTTTCATCGATAATTTTCAAAATTCGCTATAAAATTAATTTCTTGAAGAATTTGTGGAAATATTACCAATTATAAATTAAAGTATCCTCTTTCTAATGCAAAAAGCCGTTTTGAAAAATCACTTTTAGTTCATGAGAAATAAATTTTTGAAATAATTTACAATTTTTTAGAATTTGCAATTTTCGCCGATAAAGTTTTAAAAATTCGTATAAAATCCAGTTCTTGGAATATGAGTATGAAAATCTCCCAAAGCGTTAATAAAAGTGTCCTCTTTCTAATGAACCAACTCGTTTTGAAAAATAACTTTTTGTTTTTGAGAAAACAATATTTGAAGTTGTGATAAAATTTTCGATGTTGCAATTTTCATCGATAATTTTGAAAATTCGTTATAAAATTAATTTCTTGGAGGATCCTTGTGGAAATATGACCAATTATTAATTAAAGTATCCTCTTTTTAATGCAAAAAGCCGTTTTGAAAAATCACTTTTAGTTCTTGAGAAATAAGTTTTTGAAATAATCGACAATTTTTTCGAATTTTGCAATTTTCGGCGATTAAGTTTAAAAAATTCCTATAAAATCCAGTTCTTGGGATATGAGTATGAAAATTTCCCAAAGCGTTAATAAAAGCGTCCTCTTTCCAATGAACCAACTCGTTTTGAAAAATAACTTTTCGTTTTTGAGAAAACAATATTTGAAGTAAAAGTTGTTCTAAAAGGTCTAATTTTTTACCCTTCTTACAGTTGTGTAGGAGAGACACATTGTTATAATCGATGTCATGATTAAATTCCATTTTATGTTGGTAGACATTTGAAGAAGAAGTATTTTTATGTTCCTTAATTCTTTTTGCGAGTTTTCTACCTGTTTGGTCAATGTATAATGCCTCACATTCGTTACATTTAATAGAATAAACACCATTTTTATTTAATATTATGTTCTTTGCTTTTGAAGTTAGACAATATATCTATAAGTTTGTAGTTATTTTTAAAACCAATATTGTAGCTCTTTTAATTTTTACCTTATTTTAAATCATACACCTCAGTGATTATGGATTTACTAGAATATTTGAAATTTTGATAAAATTTTCGATGTTACAATTTTCATCGATAATTTTCAAAATTCGCTGTAAAATTCATTTTTTGAAGGATCCTTGTGGAAATATCGCCAATTATTAATTAAAGTATGCTCTTTTTAGAGTTGCTTCGTTAGTTAAATCAGCATCAAAAAAATTCATTTTGTATCTTGGATCCAAATAAGTTGACATGTCTTATCAGCTTTCTTATTAATTTTATTTTTATTCAAATATCGCAATAATGTGCCAAAATAGGGTATCACTATATTGGGCCGGATAATCGGATATCCGGCCGAAGGGGATGCCGAATATCCGGTATCCGGCTTTTCGTAAAATAACTATCCGTTCCATCACTACTTTTGATACTTTGTCTAAACATATTCTTGGACAATGGCATGAATAACAATTCAGATTAAACTGTAGAAAAAGCAATAAATAAAGAGATGTTACCTGAACCAATAACAATCAAAATCGCCACACATGAAACAATATCCGCATAATTTTGAGTGATAAATTCATGATTGAAGACCAGAGGGCTTTTGCTTAAGTTTTTTTTAACTGGTTTCATCATTTTTGATTTGTTTGGGGGGCTTGGTAACTAAGAAATGTACTTAGCGTGCGAGAGTCTGAAGATATTAAAAAGACGTACTAGACAGGACGTGAGAATATAGAATTCTCAAGGCAAAAATTTATTATGTGACAAACATAGGACAATACGACTGGAAAACTTAATAGAGGGACCTGTCTTGTTATTCCATCATTACCAACAACATTTGTTATAATTTGATTTTGTGCTCAAAGCAACTTTCCCTCAGAAGCATAAGAAAAAGAAAGCACTATTTACTTAGAAAAAGAACTATTTACTGTTTTTGAACTATGAAAAGAACCAAAATTGATGATTTTTTACAACAGACAAATCGAAGTGCCTAAAATGTGGCTCCAGTTATGCAATGACAGCAAAGTTCAACATAGTAATAGGTAGTGTAGACCTCATTGAGCTTTACAATGAGTTAATTGAGGTTTGATGAGTGATTAAGGTGTTTGAAGATTCATTTTATTAGTAATTTAACTAAATCAAATGTTAGCTTTATAGTTAAAACAAAAATGAACCATTCTATTCATAAGCATAAAATAGCTTATTTTTTTAAAAACAACTTATTACCAAAAATATATTGTTTTAAATAATTACCATCATTCCAGTTCCTGCACACACCATAATAGTAGACCTCAAACCATCTGAAATATTTCCTGTTAATGCTTGACCAACAAGTTGTGTGTCCGCCGATAATCGATTTACAAGCTCACCAGTTGGTCTGGTATCAAAAAAACCTTGTTCTTGTTTTAAAACTGACGAAAACACCTTTAATCTTAAAGCTTGTGTCATTCTATATCCTACAAAAAATTTACTTGACTTATAAGATATGAAAAATCTTTTAATATTTCTTCTTACCAGCTGTTGACATAATATAAATTCTCCCAAAATTACATATAGCTCCAACAAAAAATACAGTTAACAAAACTGCACAAACTTTGTTTAATTTAGCCCTTGCTGCATCAATTTCTTCGGTGCTTGTATAAATAATATCTAAAATTTTACCTAAACTAAAAGGCACCGCCATCGTAACAGTGCTAGATACTAATAATAATGAAACAGCTCCTAAAAAAGTGTATTAATTTTATTAATTTTTTTATACTTGTCTATATTATTTACCTAATAATTTCCATCTTTCTGGTTTTGCCAAAGAAAACAACCTAGCTACATCAGAATGTTTTAATCTTGGCCGAGGACCTTTACTACTGCCTGACATCTCTCTTTGCAATATTCGTGACAATTCATATTTATTGACACTTTTTAAAACCGTTGTTGCCTTCCTTGAGGCAGTAGAAAAATGCTTACCGCATATCGGACCATTGTAGAATTTATTGATTTGTTTAAAAGCGCCCAACTTTAAGTAACCTTTATTTAGAACGCAATGGTATACGAACATTTTCTAAACGTGACGAAAACTTGGCTCAAAACTATCTAATTAGAGCTTTAAATAAACACCTTTTTAACATATAATTTTTCTTTTTAATCCTTTTCAATTAATTCGTAATAATTTTTTTGTAGGTTATATGGTGACAATTATTTTAGGTTATGTATTTTTGATTTTTTGACAGTTAAAAATTTGAAATATTTTGCGAAATAATAAAAATTAATTAAATCGTTGCGTTCAATTGAATAAAAAATGAGTTGGGTTAAAAATAGATTAAATTAATAATTCATAAAAAGATTTAAAAATCATTAAGAAGAGATTGTGAAATAATAGGCAACTCAAATATCACGCAAATAATTTTGATTTATTTATAATAGATGGCGGTATAAACGATCATTTTGAAAAATTATTTATTAATTAATGTTATTTCTAAAAATTGTTTTTTTCGATAAATTCTTTGTTTTTTTATTAAATTAATCATTTTATTACATAGAAATCAAGATTATTGTCGAAAAAAACAACCTAATTTATAAAAGGATGCACTTAATAATTAATCTAGCGCAAATCAGATAAACTTAAAAGATACTAATCTGGGGGGTTCTAAGAGAATGTCGGTTAAAGATGCACACACCCGATAAGAGAGGCAGGGACGTAGTATATATACCTAGTTTTAGTTGTGGAATACAATATATTTGTACAAGAGAACGACGGAGAGCGTCCTGAACTTTGCACCTAGTTGTGTTTGGACTTGGGCACAAGTTTATAAATTCAATTTCTCGTCAATCGTTTTACTTATTTATAAGAAAGGTGTGAATTTGGACCAGTACTTTCACTCCCGCACGTTTGCAAATAATTTGTGGTATTTAACACCCTTCAGTACAAGTTTATCCTATTGCGTACAACCAAGCTATAAATAAATAATAATCCCGCCAGTGAAAAACTATTTCTGATTTCATTTAATTTGAAATTTAGTGAATTGGTACGTATTTATTTTGATTTATTAATCGTAATTTAAGAATGCGAAGAAAATCAATTTATTTCTAAATTTATTCTCCCGCGAAACCTTTCAAAAACACATTCGAAACGCGTTTCAGTTCTAAATATTTCTTATTTCCTTTCAGAAAAATCTGCGTTTATTAAAGAAGAATGGCCAAGTTTATGCGTGTTTTAAAAAATCATAGTTTACAATGGTCTAAATTGAAAAGTATTGAAAGTATTCAGTGTAGTAGTGCGTTTGCAAGGAGAGAATACAGCAGTTTGAAACATCAACCTGAAGAGAAATACAACAGTAACATCGTGCAGACATCTTTAGGTAATGTGAAAGTGCCTAACGAGAATGTCGTTGAACACATTTGGAAGGACTATGAAAAGTGGGGTGACCAACCAGCATCGGTAAGTTTTATCTAAAAATATTTTCTTATTTACTTATGATAAAGAATATTTAGAAAACCTTGAAAAACTATAAGAAATAAACACGTTTTAACATTCAAACAAAAATAATAGGATTTAATTAAAGGTCAACAATAATTACTTTTATTACTTAGAAAAAAATGTGTAATTATTTTTTATTTGAATCGACATGAATAAAAAAACAACTCAAAAAATTTATTACTCATCTCTGATTGTTCATTTTACGATTCATATTTAGTGATAATCACCTTTTTTAATCCATAATAAAACCTCAAAGTCTGATCTCAAATTCGTATTAAGATTAACCAGGTGAGCGTGTAGAATGAAATTTGTACTTTGTACCACGAGGAAAAGGAAATTATTTGTAATCATCGGTTTCCTTTCATTTAGATAGCAAAATATTTGCACAAACACGTTTAACAATAGAACGATAATCGGTCATTATTTGTAAATTTATTGAGGTATTATTGTTGATTTAATTAGTGTAAACACAACTGTTTTAACTCAATCCAAATAAATTTCTATCAACATATTCAAATGATTCATTAATTAGATAACATAACAAGTATCATCCTTAAGCAGATGATATTCAATTATTATTAATAATCATGTTGACGTATTTTTCATTTATTGCATTCCTAGAAAAGTTGTTGCCTAGTACATTATAGAATTGTATTTTCATTATAGAATAGAATATATTTCAAACAACTCCATATCAAAATCGATCCTTGTAAATTGATTTCGACCACCAAAGGCAAGGTTTCCCAACATGTGTGTCAAAGTAAACAGAAGCGCCACGAGGCACTTTTACCTTTAAGCTTTTCATGTTAAACCACAACTGAATAATAAACAGCCGAGAAGAAATATAAACGGTGTTCAAAAACCCGATATCACAAAACTGCCGATTTATTTCAATAAGTTACTTTATGATTTCATGAAGTTGTAGAAAAATAGAAAGATTTTTATTAAATAAGGAAGTCATCAACTCAACTAAGAGTGTAAATTAGTGATGGAACGGATAATGATTTTGTGAAAAGCCGGATACCGGATATTCGGCATCCCCTTCGGCCGGTTATCTATCCGGCCATTATGGTTATAATTTCTGGTACATTTCTGATGTGATACCCTACATTGTCACATTATTGCGATATTTGAATAAAAATGAAATTAATAAGAAAGCTGATAAGATATGTCAACTTATTTGGATCCAAGATGCAACATGAACTTTTTTGATGCTGATTTAACTAACGAAGCAGAAAATTTTCATACTCATATTCCAAGAAATGGATTTTATACGAATTATTACGAAATTAAAAAATTCGAAAAAATGGTTGATAAGTTCAAAAATTTATTACTCAAAAACTAAAAGCTATTTTTCAAAACAGCTTGTTGCATTAAAAAGAGGATACTTTGATTAATAATCGGCGATATTTCCACAAGGATCCTTCAAGAAATGAATTCTATAGCGAATTTTGCAAGTTATCGATGAAAATTGCAACATCGAAAATTTGATCAAAACTTCAAATATTATTTTCTCAAAAACTAAAAGCTATTTTTCAAAACGGGTTGGTTCATTGGAAAGAAGGCACTTTTATTAACACTTTAGGAGATTTTCATACTCATATTCCAAGAAATGGATTTTATACGAATTTTTAAAACTTAATGGACGAAATTGCAAAATTCGAAAAATTGTTGATAATTTCAAAAATTTATTTCTCAAAAACTAAAAGCTATTTGTCAAAACGGCTTGTTGCATTAAAAAGAGGATACTTTAATTAATAATTGGTGATATTTCCACAAGGATCCTTTAAGAAATTAATTTTATAGCGAATTTTGCAAATTATCGATGAAAATTAGACGAAACTGCAACAAGAGATTTTATACATATATCGTATTGGGATTGTTACAATGAGGTTGGCTAATGACAAACCTGATATATATAAAGTTGTATTCAAAGAAAAAAGTCCTGTTGCGGTTGAACTTGATTATTATCTGCAGTGTCCAACACCTAAAAGAGATACTAATTCCTGTGAATGATGGAGTACTTAGTAATAGGTTCCTATCCTATCCTATGTTTTTAATATCCGGCCAAAGCTGCATATTTGGTAACTATCCGGTATCCGGATGGATTTTAAAAAATGGCCGGATAGGCCGGATACCGGATAGTTGCCGGATATCCGTTCCACCACTAGTGTAAATGTTAATTTAGGCTTTGAAATGCTAATTTTAAAATAAGCTGATACCTGGACACTAATTGGTTTAACATGGTTGAACAATACTGGGAGTTCCTTTGGATAAAATTGTATCCGTAGGAGTACTGATGGAGTTCCATCTATATCTAGTCTATCTAAATGAGAAAAACTAGAATGAAGAAGAAATGGATAGAAAACCGTTGTTTTTCTTGGTTTTTCTTGCACGGGAGCAATTTAAATCTAACTGATGGAGCTCCATCTGTATCTAGTCGATATGAAGGATTGTAGACACATTTACAACATAACAGAATAGGTCACTAGAAATGAGACAGAGTAGAAAGAAAAAGAACTGACTTGATTTTACTCGTTGTACTAGATGGGGGCAAACATTTTTTTTTTTTTGGCCGATGAACAATTTAAATGTAACTGATGGAACTACATCTACCTCTGCTCGATTTGAAGGACTTTAGACACACCTACAAGAATTTTAGACTCATCTTGGCAAATTTCCTGATAGTTTAGTCTACTGTTTAAATTTTCAGGTCCTTATGGACGCCGCTGTTCCTAATATACCAAACTATATCAACAATGTATCTTAAAGTTTTCTTCTAAAATCTTTGAATTATAGCTATGTAGCTAGATATAGCTAGATATCGAAGATGTCAAGTCAAAATGGCATAAACGCCAAAATGGTCACTTTTTACTTAGGTACACCGTTGAACAGGATTTTTAAATCTGCATCCAACAATTAAAGCTACATAACTGCAAACTATCAATCGCCGCAATATTGGTTTAAAGATTGCGCAAATGCCTATTTGAATACGACCTGATGAAATTTTTAGTGATTCCTGAAAAATCAAGTAAATGTCGTTTATGTCGTTTTGGCTTGGCAGCGTCGGTATGATCCCGTAGGTTTTTATGCCTGCTTATATAGCAACAGTTATTTATACCAAGTCATAGTAAAATATCAGCCAATACATGTTTCTATATCTTATATTTTTCTTCAAAATTACTTTTCATTAGTGCACTTCGTTCCATATTCTTGTTTGGTATAAATGTGTTTAGTCAGCTAGCTATAAGCACTTATCTGGCTTCACCTGTGTATTCCTTTATTTCTTCGCCTGTCTTTCGTTGACAAGCAAGTCAAAGGTCACCAAGCTGTACACTTTATGCAAAAATTACCATTATGTTACTGTAATGCTCAATGCAGATACCGTGTACAACATAACCATTGCTATGAGCTTTGCTTTGCTGGTATAAAGACTTCTCACACTTAACTTTGGGTTTTGTGGAGATTTTGGCTCTTTTCGTCATTTCCTTAATATGTACTTTTATACCTTTATCAAGATAATCAAGGTTACTAAGTTTTCTCCTACCATACATTGTATACAGGTGTATCGCGCTGTATCTTATGTATCCGCTTTTTTTGGCCTGTTTTAATGTCAATCCTTTAAGTTGACGTGGAATCTCACTCATTATATATACAAAGTTTTTTTTTGGTACTATTACTTTTCATAACAAGTAAGATCTAATTGCTTTTGATAAGTGCTTTTTGTGGTCTTCTGATTGGATCTTGTCCCATTTTTCTTATTCAACTTGATCAAAATCTCTATTAAATTTCAGGTTCGCGATCGTTGTATACACCTGCAAAGTTTCATCTGTTCCTTGTACACTGACCAGCAAAATCTCGAGAGCAACACAATCTGGACCTTGATTCATCCAGCTCCAAGTCTGCTTCGGCACTCTTGTATTATCCCATCGTGTTCATTGGGAATTATTTGGTTTTGTGTTGTAATATTATTTCTTCGCCAATAAGAATATGATGCAAAAATTAATATTTTCAATGACATAGAATCACAATTACTTGAAAAATTAAGACAGTCACCATATTAATAAGTAAGATGAATCAACTTATGTACCAAGTAGTACAATATTAATCGTTTAGGTCACGCACATAGATTTTCAAAGATACACAGGAAGAAATGTTATGCTTACTAAAATTGCTACTAATTGAGCAAAAGTACCAGCTTTCTTGTTTCAGGAAATTTTTGTTTAGATTTGGTATATTCCCCAAAAGCTTCATGAATTTCAGTTTTTAGAGAGATGTGTCATTTTGAACCTTGTTAATCTTCTCCGAAACTTTTACAAGACTGCAAGAATCATTTTTCGAGGTTTGTTATCTTTTCTTAAACCAGTATTAGTACAAAATTTGGTAGCAACATTTATTTTGTACAGTTACTAACGAGACGCTAAGAAATGAGATTATAAACTGATGCAATAATTTCTCCATAGAAGAACATTAGCATGAATCAATAAAGAAATAAAGTTCTATGTCACAACCTTGTTATGAGAATGTTCTACAAATTCTATCAATACAAAGTAGTTGTATAAATTGGTTTCATTTTAATAAATAAAAATATATTCGTTCTAATTTCAAATATTTTAAACTACGACTAAAATATCCAACATTGAAAACAAACCACACCTTCCATTCAAAAATATGTCAACAAAATTCATCGTGCGTAATAAAACGATAAAAGTCAATAAAACTGATTAAATTAACAAAAAGTTTATGATAACTAGAACAAAACTACAACATTTTTTTGAAGGGGTTTACACTGTTTGAGTTAGAAAATATTCTACTGATTAGTTTATTGACGTTATTGAAGATTATAGATAAATTACAAATTTATCAAATAATACGAATTGTTTCAGACGTTGTTTTACGTCAGAGTTCAAAGTTGAATTTTTTGCTTAATATGATTTTCTCAATTAATATTCATTTATCATTACACATATCAAAAAAAAATTTACTGCAATTTTAGTTTTTTATCCACGTGTAGATAACGAAATCCGGATTTTAATCGTGACTCGCTGTAATATTGCTATATTAAAATGAATATGTGTATGCATCCAAAGGTCGAAGTTCTAATTGATAACGAGATATGTTTTTGAATACAGAAGATTACGAGAGAGGTATACGGACGAGCCCCCTTATCGATCGATAGAATCGAAAATAATCAGAAGAAAAAATCGAAGGGAAGAGACAAACACTTACAGACCAAATAAAAGATAAAAAATTATTCAACATTAGATTGCAATAATAATATTAAATAAACAAGTAGCGTTGCCAAATAGATCTTAAATATAACCAGTTGCATTTTGATTCGAAAATAGTTACGAAAAAACTGCATCGAAACGAAAATAAAGTTACGTGTGTTCTAAATTATAAATATACACACGTCCGAATAACTTTTTTTATCTTTAACCCCAAGATGAAAATAATTCGCACATGTTAAAATATTTAATACAATTTTGTTATTACTAAAATGAATCCGAAAATTAACATCTTACATTCTTGTTTTTATCGTTTTAATAGACGTATTAACACCAATTGCTTTACTCGGTGTACTGCAATTGACGCAAACACACTTTTATTAATCGAGATGAGTCTAAACAGTAATTGAAATGTACAAAAGTACAATTCCACCAAAACAATTCTCAACAAGATTATTTTGACTCCTAACTTAAATTAGTTTCTATTTTAAGATACCTGTAACAAGAACAACGTTCAAAAATTCATATCTACATGATGATCTTAAGCAGATTGTCCCCCGCGTTCGTAGATCGATGATAATTAATTTGTACTTTTCATTTTTACAATATCAAACTCATTTTATCAATACGATTTCACGTACAACGTCCGAAGTCGATTGGTTTCGGTATTAGGAATTAATTTTCGAAATGTATTGCGATCAAAGGTTAATTTTATTGCCTGTGTTGATGAATTTATGATTGCGGCTGGATGTTTGTCTAGATAGATTTTTATAAAAAAAATAAATCTATATTTATTGTAGAATAATAAATCATTTTTAGTTCAATGAAAAATACACGACAATTTAACGCTGAATCACAATTAAAATAAGAACTAATACTAGCATTAGAACTAACACTAGAACTAGAACTAACACTAGAACTAGAACTAGAAACATTCAAATCCCAATGTTTCTAGTTCTAGGTCAAGCGTTAGTTCTAGTTTTAGTTCAATAGAAATATACAACAATCTAGCTCTGAATAACAACTAGAACTAGAGCCTTATCACTAACCTTATCACTAAAACTAACACTAGACCTAGAACTAGAAATATTCGGGTTTAGCCGTACGTCTCTTAAGACGGCTAAATCCGAATGTTTCTAGTTCTAAGCCTAATGTTAGTTCTAGCTTTAGCTCAAAAAATATTCAACAGTCTAGCACTATATAACAACTAAAACTAGAACTAACACTAGACCTAGAATCATTCGAGTTTAGCCGTCTTAAAAGATGTGCGGCTAAATCCGAATGTTTCTAGTTCTAGGTCTAGTGTTAGTTCTGCTTTTGCATTAGCATTGTCACTAGAACTAAAACTAGACTTAGAACTAAAATCATTCGGGTTTAGCCGTCTTAAGAGACGTGCGGCTAAACCCGAATGTTTCTAGTTCTAGGTCTAGTGTTAGTTCTGCTTTTGCAGTAGCACTGTGACTAGAACTGACACTAAACCTAAAACTAGAATCATTCGGGTTTAGTCGTCTTAAGAGACGTGCGGCTAAACCCGAACGTTTCTAGTTCTAGTGTTAGTTCTAGATTTATTTCAATGAAAAATATACAACAATCTAACACTGAATAACAACAAAAACAAGAACTAACATTACCATTAGAACTAACAATAAACCTAGAACTATTGTATTTAATTATTTTATTATTTAATAATTTTTCAGACATGTGCAGTATCAGGAAGAACTTACAGTTACTTCATGATGAGAATGATGATTCAAAGATGTGCAAAAGGTTTAATAGCACATTGCGGAATGGAACCAAGAGACGTTGTTGGTTTGCTTCTTCCAAACATTCCAGAATACATAGTGGCATGTCACGGAGCTTTAGAAGCTGGATTAACTGTCACGTTTGTAAATCCATTATATACCCCAGGTTAATACAAAACAATTATATTATAAAACAATTTTAAATTAATTATCTTTGTTATTATGTTATTAGATGAAGTTAAAAGACAGTTTGAGAATGCTGGTGTTAAAATGATAATGACGATTCCGTTATTTTTGGAAGTAGCAACAACGATAGGAAAACATTTGCTTGGGTATAAATCGACGATTTGCATCGGTGGCGAAGATGATGCATCGCAAAATGTTCACGGTTTTCAAGATTTGTTAATGGCCGATTATCAAGCTGAACTACCGGGGATAAATCCAAAAGAAATTGCAATTCTTCCGTATTCCAGTGGTACAACCGGAATGCCAAAAGGGGTTATGTTGTCTCATTACAATCTTATCGCTAATTTATTGCAAATTAAACATCCAGCTTTTATGGAAGAAAGAGATCCTGGTAAATATTAATTTTGCCTTAACCAAAATAAATTTTTTTAATTATTTTTTTTACGTTTTAGATGTCCAAGAACAAGCTTTAACCGTTTTACCATTCTTCCACATTTATGGATTTAACGGTATCTTAAACACAACGTTATCTCAAGGAGTTCATATAATTACCCTCCCAAAATTCACGCCGGAAGATTATATTAAAGCTTTAGAAGAATTCCGACCAACGTTCCTATTCGTGGTGCCTTCTTTGCTTTTATTCTTAGCGTCACATCCGGCTATTACCAAAGATCATTTATCATCGATTAAAAATGTTACTTCAGGAGCAGCTTCTGCACCTGAAGGATTATTACAGAAGTTCCGGCAAAAATGTGGCAATGATGTTGTTATAAGACAAGGTAATTTTTAGTTATCATTAAAAAAAATGGGATTAATTATATTTTTGTGGGTTTTAAGGATATGGTATGACAGAAAGTTCACCAGTTACTTTATTTATGCCTCTTCTGACTCCACCCTCCAAAATTGGTACTTGTGGGGTTTTGGCAGCTAGTACAGAAGCAAAGATTGTCGATTTAGTTACAGGTGAAGAATTACCTGAACTTAAATCAGGCGAATTACTTGTTAGAGGTCCACAGGTAATAATTTCAAATTGATTGTCATTAATTGAAATGGAATCAGCCTATGAAATTATAATAAGTAAGAAAATAATTTTGTTTTAGATTATGGCAGGATACTTAAATAATGAAAAAGCGACAGCTGAAACTATTGATGAAGAGGGTTGGTTGCATACAGGAGATGTTGCTTATTATGATGAGGATAAATATTTCTTCATAGTTGATCGTACAAAGGAGTTAATCAAAGTTAAAGGAAACCAGGTAGGTTAAAATTATGCACTTTTTTTTCTGTCATAATTTGGTATATGATATGGTTATAATATTCAGTTATGTCTAAAAAGATTCTTTTTGTAAGACCAGCCTGAAGCATAGCTATAAAAACAAACAGCAAATGCTGCAAATGATTTATCCATGTCATTGAATTTACTGCTATATCATAAAAATAAGTTTTGGCAAATTTATTATAACCTTCCAAAATTTTATTCATTAATCTTTGGAAAAAGGAGCAGATTGAGCAATGTTACTAGTTCAAATACTCTTTGATGAAATCAGTCATTCCAATTTGCCAATAACTTACTTACTGACTTAAATATTTTGCGTTACTACACCTACTGGTCTTGGTACTTTGCCTTCTATTTCCATTATAATCATTGGCGAAGAATATGGACTGTCACTTGGTTTAATTACAGCTAATTGTAAGTCAACATTTTTATCTATTTTTTCGTCTATAATTTCTCGTATTGCTGCAGATTGCATATTCTTCCGTAAGTCTTTCTACATACTTAATGGAGATTTAATTTGCCTTCCATAACATAACTCCACAGAACTGAAACCATGAGCTGCATGTGGCGCACTTCTTATGTCAATTTATGTATTACACATTTTTGTCCTAATTTAAGCTGAACATATTTGTGGTCAAGATGCTACAATATATGTTGTCTAATCTGGTATCAATGTTGCTTTAATCAAAGCAACTTCACCTTAACTAAACAAAAATATATTGCCCCTAATTAATGAAGCGGCATGATACTTCATCTGTTTTAGTTAGGCGAAAGTTAAAGATGAAGGTGCTGCAATGTATTATCTAATATTGTAGGCTTAATCAGGTAAAAGCATACAGTATCCGCACAAAATGTAGCCAAGATCGCTTGAGGATCACCACCTATCTCTATCTATTTTTAATCAAATTGCTATAATTATTGGCCAATTGAAGTATGACAACCGAAATGACGTGCAATTCGGATATTGTGCAGTTATGTAACACACCTTGTGTTATAATAATTAATCAGTTCTGTCATGTGTATCTTGCACACCACAATGGGAGGATCTGTTGGTTTAGCCCCTCTTGGTGTTTGTATAGTGTACGATAAGAGCACCCCAAGCTTCATTTTTCTGGAATACTTTATTTGTATCAAATACCAACCGAACCCAATTACCACCTCTTGTTGAGGTTGAGTTGATGCATGTTGTTTATACTCTTTTACCTTCACTGGAAATGTTTCTTTAGAACTCTTTAGATTTTTCGGAAAGTTATCCACAAAAGTAGGAACCGCAAACACCGATATCGCGGATAACCAAAGAACACTCGCAAATAAAAGTAACTTCACAGTCCTCGATTTTTAAGTCTTTGTCGATTGAAGACTTAAAATTGGGTATAAAACAAGGATGGTAGAATTTACAAGGACTGGTAAATCCTTCGTTCTTCTGTCATTTAATACGTCATATCACGCTGATTAAGATATTGTTGCTTTTAGAAGTTTTAAAAGTTGTTGTTTGATGGCAACAGTCTTGTGTTGATATGGTATTAAAGGTAGCGCCTCGGCCTAATAGAATGAAATGTACGATTTTCAGCTTATTAACCGAGGCGTTGTATTGTTCCATACCAGTTTTCTGTTAATATAAGTATTAGTTATAGAGCCTCGGCCACAAGCAACCTCAGCTTAATCAATCAGCATCATGTAGTCTTTGTTATGCATTCCACTTAATTTAGCTGGGGGAGTTGTAATATCAACTGGTCAAGTGTGAAACTACTATTACTCAACTGATTCTTCAAATTTAGTATACAGCTGGCTATTTAGCAAAAAAATATAAAGATCGCCATGTTGGGAGAAGCAATTATCTTATGGCATATAATAAATTGAGATGTAGCAGTACCCCGTCGTATGTTTTCCATTTTAGCTGAAGGATCACCACTATTAGCTTTTAGATACAACTCTCACAAACCACCAAACAATTCATCAATCGAACTTAACATCATCGCATAACACTTCAGATAATCTGCTAACATAGTGACAATAAGTCCATAATAATCACGTAATGTTATTTTTTAATGTTAATTCTTCATGATATTCGCAGCTGGTTCATGCTATTGTACGTTTGGTTATATAACCATTAGAAATCAAGAGCTCCCTATCTAACAATTATTCTATAACAGTGACGTGTTAGTAAAGAGTTTCTGTACTTAACAAGGTGGTCTTCATTCTTGAATATGAAGTGATTAAATATAAACCAAAAAGTTAGCACCTTCAAGTATAAAACAGTGTCCCGTTCTTTGTTTGCCTCAATCATTGTTCACGGATTGGGTTGGGCCAAATAGGCCCGATTTTGACATTAGTTTCTTTCAGTTGACGAGGATGTAATGTAAGATTGTCTTAAAAATCCTTAATAAGAAATCCCCGGTTTCATCATGTTCCAGAGATTTGTGAATGTTCGAGGTTCTCCAAAATCCACTCTTGACTTGCAATGAATTAGCATTGAATAGAATTAATCATCTACCAAGAGAACCAAGAAGTCTTGTTAGCGACATCTAGCGCTAAATAACAATTAAAACTAGAAAAAAAGGATAGAAGTAGAATCATAGCATTTGCCATGCGATCTTCAGACGCACGGCTAAACCCAAATGGTCTAGTGTTAGATCAATAAAAATATACAACAACCTAGCGCTGAATAAGTACTAAAACCAGAGAGTTGGCACTAGCATTAGAACTAACACTAGACCTAGAAACATTCGGGTTTAGCCGTCTTAAGAGAAGCACGGCTAAACCTGAATGATTCTAGTTCTAGATTTAGTTTTAGTGACAGTGCTAATACAAAAACAGAACTAACACTAGATCTAGAACTAGGATCATTCGGGTTTAGTCGTCTTAAGAGACGCATGGCTAATCAGAATGTTTCTAGTTCTACGTCTTGTGTTAGTTTTAGTGATAGTGTAAAACTAGAACTAACACTAGACTGAGAACTAGAAACACTCGGATTTAGCCGCACGTCTCTCAAGACGGTTAAATCCGAATGATTCTAGTTCTAGGTCTTGTGTTAGCTCTAGTATTAATTTTAGTTCAATACAAATATACAACCTAGCGCTATCTAATGTTAACTAGCACTGTCACTAGAACTAACATTAGACCTAAAACTAGAAACATTCGGATTTAGCCGTACGTCTCTTAAGACGGCTAATCCCGAATGTTTCTAGTTCTAGTGTTAGCAAAGAAAAATATACAACAATCTAGCGCTGAATAACTACTAAAACTAGAAAGCTGACGCTAGCATTAGAACTAACACTAGACCTAGAAACATTCGGGTTTAGTTGTGCATCTTTTAAGACAGCTAAACACGAATGTTTCTTGTTTTAGTATTAGTTCTAATAGCAGTAATAGTTCTAGTTTTAATTGTACCACTAGTATCTGAGTTTAAGATACAAATGTATTTTATATGGATTTAATACGAAAAAGTAAATAAGAGAATGTTGGATAACAAATTTTAAATTTAATAACTTCTAACTAACGCCATCTTTTGCCCGGCGATCTTTTCTGTTGGTAAATACAGACTGGCAGTCCTCTGCGTATGACTGGAAAGTTAATATTTTTGAGGATTTATAGAAAAAATAATGAAATTAATATTATGCAGACGAAATTATTATTTAAACTGTTATTTATTAGGTTCTCTCACCAAAAATAAGACAGTTGTTCTTGTGACAAATGAGGGACTTTATTGCTTATTACAACTTAAATTCTTAATGATAAAAACGGAAAATCGAGCTACAATAAATACTGAAGTAAAAAGGTAGATAGTAATTACTGGGAATCGGAAATAAAATAATTAGGCACTTATAAATCCTCAGGTAAACGATCTATTAGCTAGTAATTACGTAAAAATTAAAAAATTAACCACATTATTAAGATACGATTTTTTTCATTTTTTTTTTTCACTTTTGGTAAATGCCTTATTTAAACGGAAGCTGTTTCATCAGAAGTAATATCTGTTGAATCTGGATTTTCAACATCAACTTCCATTGGAGTTTCTTCTGGTTGTTCTTGGTGTTGTAATACAGGGTTTGGTTTATTTTCGATGGTCTCTTGGTCTTGTTCCACCTTTGGAGATTCTGTTGACGTTTCTTTTTTATTATGACTTGTTGGACACTCTTCAACCACCATTTCTTTTACAGGTTCATCCGGAGGAGTGACAGTTACAAAATTAACTTTCTCATCAATTATGTCTTTTGAAACTTCAACATCCACTTTAACCTCTTCATCTTTATCCGAATTTTTTTGTGAATTTGGTTCCAAATTTTTTTCCCCTATATTTGTATCCTCCAAATTCGTATCTCTCAAATCAGTTTCCTCCAAATTTGTTTCTTCCAAATTCGTTTCTTCCAAGTTTGTTTCTTCTATATTTGGTTCCTCCAAATTAGTAGTTTCTTCTATATTTGGTTCATCTAAGGTAGTTTCATCAATATCGACATTAATCTTTTGATTCTCTTCGGTTAGTTGCGAAGAATTCTCTTCGTTTTCACTTTTATCCGAAGCATCAGTTTGAACAGTATCATTTGAACAACTTGAATTTGAACTTTCCGTCTCCGAAGATGAAACAACAGCTTCGTTTTGTAATTCGAGATTATCGATTTTCTCAACTGGTTCGCTTACTGCGTTATCATCATCCGTCGTAATTGGTTCTATACTATTTCTTCTTTTCTGTACTTGTGCTGGAACGCTTTGAGTTTCATCGTCGACGTTATCATCAACATTTTCGAGGGGTTTTTCCAAACTTTCTTCGCTTTCTGTTATTATTATGGCTGGAATGGTTAATGTACTTGAACTTTCTGTAACAGAACAAGTTATAACCGTTTCTGTGGTGGAAGTAGTCGCGTCTATGTTAATTCTAGATTCTTGAGGTGGGCTAATTTCGGATGTTGTTGATGAGGAGGATGAAGATGATGATGAAGAAGAGGATTGTTCGCTTGTGGGGCGATCTACGTTTATAAAAGCTTGTTCTTCTTGGTTAATACGAGGCCATGATGCGTTGTAATCGATGTCTTTCATCATATCGTTTGTGGCAGTTGCGATCGCTATTATTTCGGGTAAATGTTCGTTTTCTATTCCATTTACTATTCCATCGCCGTTTTCTGCATTTCTCCTTGTACCTATAGAAATAAGAACTAAATTAATATCAAAATGTATCATAACCTCACTTTTCCTTTATGACATTTCAACCTAACCTTAAAATTAAATGAAAATGTCATAAATATGAGTCATAACCTCACTTTTTAAAACTAATTTTGTAATTTAATGAGAATTTTGATATTAAATATTTAAGGAAACATGTATATGTACAAAATGTAGTTTTAAAACGTTTATTTTACCTGGTTCCATCGTACTAACAACTAAAATATTCTTCTCTAAGGCCCTCATATATTTATCTATTCTATTATATTCTTTCCGTGGAGTTGTTAGTAATTCACATATTCTCTGTACAGTAAAAGGAGCCGAAGTAAACGTATCTAACTTTTCTAAAATAAAATTTTTCATGGAATCGTAATTAAACATTTCGACATTTGGGCAGGGCGGTATGTCCATCGAAGGACACGACACGTAAAACTCCGTGATAACGTTAATCAATTTCTCTCTAAAAAGGCTTTTAATAGCGGACCATTGGTAAACGGGGTCCCCCGTTTTAGCCACGAAACACAAGTACTCCTCGAGTTCGCGCGGAATGTCCTTGGGTTTTAGTTTTGCGAACTCTTCCAAACTATGTAGGATTTCCTCCGGATTTTCCATTGCGTCTCGTTTTACGACGATTTCGTCTCAAAACCGATTGAACACTATTTACTTCGTACTTTGAACACTTTGATTTGACAAACAACAAAAAATCGAGCGAGCACTTGCGTTGTGCTGACAATAACGTGAAGTACGCCTGAATCGCTAAACTGAGCAAGGTGACGTTTACTACCAACCTTAAAATAAACAATTTCTCGAGGTCGAAGTTTAATCACTAATTATACATAATTATAATCAATTTATATTTAATAATTTAATTTCGTATTAATAATTAAATCCGTATTATTAATTAAAATAAAAATCTTAAAAATAATTTAATAATTTAATTCGACAGCGCCATCTTATATTGAATCATCGAAGTTTATTTAAAGTTTCTAAAACATTAAAAAAATGTTTTTAACATTAATTATTTTAATGATTTCAGAACACTTTTAATTATGTTCACGAATATGTGGTATAAGGTTTAAACCAAGTATAAAATTTTGTTTGTTTTGCTAATTTCATTTAATTTTTTGTTTAAGGTATCTCCAACCGAATTGGAAAATATAATTCTCGAAATGCCTGCAGTAGCTGATGTTGCTGTGGTTGGAGTACCAGATACTTTAGCTGGAGAAGTTCCAAGAGCTTTTATTGTAAAGAAACCAAAAGCGGCTTTAACAGAGGAAGACGTTTTAAAGTATGTAAACCCAAAAGTGGTTCATTATAAGAAATTATCGGGAGGTATACGCTTTTTGAACATGATTCCACGTAATCCAAATGGAAAAATTCTCAGGAATGAGCTTAGATTGATTAAATGAGAAGCGAAAGTTAATACTCATTCAAGAATTGGATCTTTTTAAAATAACTAGTTTTTAAGTTATAACTTTTTTATTATTGTGTAAATATATGTTTTTATTGATATTTAAAACGTTTTTGTAAGCGACTGATTGTATATATAAATGTATGAGCAAAAATTGAATAAAATTTATTTGTTTATAATAAAAATAGTGGTTAATTTTATGTTGGTGTTCCTGAAATAACTAAAATCACTTTGACATTTGACGTTTATTGGCTTATTCGTTTCTTGTCAATATAATATCAATACAACACAAAAGCGGATTATTTTTTGTGAGAATCTATAATAATGTGGCACGAGGCGAGAAAACAAGAGCGAAAAATTCGCGGTATGTTAGTAGATTACCGCAAAAGAGCCGAACGAAGACGAGATTTCTACGAGAAAATTGTAATGAACCCAAACCGCATTCGTCCATTAAATCGCGTTAACTGTCGCCCCCTTTTTTACTTAAACGTTATGTGATTTTAGCGAGCTGATCCTACACAGTTTTTACAACTGCACGGGCGACAATGCAAAATCCATTTGGATCCTAATGTGGCTGCTGCAGCTGATAGTCCTGCTGCGATGTAAGAATTTATTTTAATTTAACATTTTGAAATAAGATAATTAAATCGTTCCTAGGATGCCTTGGCAAGGACAAACTGATAACTTAATCGATAGATTTGATGTTAGGGCTCATTTAGATTATATCCCACCTGTTAATAATAAATTTGAAGAAGATGAAATAACCAACGAAGAACGCCAATTAAATTATGAGAGGTATAGAATTATTGCTCAAAACTCCTTTTTGGGAATTACAGAAGAAAAGTTTCTTAAGCAACTCCATTTAGAGGAGCAATTTGGTTACACTGAAAACGAAAAGAACAAAACTAAAAAGACAGGAGGAGCTGCTATTGGTTTCAATTATGATGATGGTACATTTATTCAAGTTATTTTTATTATTTTTACAATTTTTGTGTTCAGGGACAGCCCCTACACCTGCAATTCCACCATCAAACAGTTCGGATGAACAATCTGATAGCGATTTAGATGTAGACCTTGCAATAAACGTTTCAAAAATGGACCCAATGCAAGCTCATGAAATGAATAGGCATGGGCGTAATTTCGGGATGAGTACAAACGATTTTTACTCATTTTTAACAAACGATATGGAGGAAGCTGAAAATTATAGGCTTGCCAAGGAAGAAGAACATGAAAAGGCTTTATTTTCTGGGCGAAAATCACGTCGGGAACGAAGGTAAGTTAGGTATATAACCTAACTTTTTTAATATGGGTTAATTCATCCCATAAAAATAAAGATTTATTGGAGATTTCCAAATTTTTGTACATAAAATATTCTTTTATTAATAAAGAACCTTTTTGTAAAAAAATATATTGTTAGAAATAAAATTAATGTGATAAATGTCAGATATTGAGGTTATGTTTTTGTTAAATTTGTTACTTCTTAATTACATAACCTAACATTTTTTAATATGGGTTAATACATCCCATAAAGATAAAGAATTATTGGAGAATCCAAATTTTCTTTTATTAATAAAGAACCTTCTTGTAAAAAAATTTATTTTTGATAGAATTAAATTTAATGTGATAAATGTCAAATATTGAGGTTATGTTTTTGTTAAATTTGTTACTTCTTCATTACATAACCTAACTTTTTTAATATGGATTAATACATTCCATAAAGATAAAGAATTATTGGAGATATCCAAATTTTTGTACATAAAATGTTCTTTTATTAATAAAGAACCTTTTTGTAAAAAAATATATTTTTGCTAGAATTAAAATTAATGTGATAAATGTCAAAATATTGAGGTTATGTTTTTGTAAAATTTGTTACTTCTTAATTTTAATTAAAAATGACTTAATTTAAAACAGAGCACATCGTGAAAAACGTTTGGCAAACCGAGTTTTAAGCCCTCCAAGTTACGCAGCTCGAATTTCACCAACATATCCAATCCTGCGGTTAAGTAAATCGGTCTCAAAATCTCCATCTCCGGAAAACACCGGAAAAATAACTTACATAACATCCTTCGGTGATGAAGATGAACCCAGTTCATCTTCAAAACCAACTTACGCCGATAAAGTAAAATACGGAAAACCGAAAAAATCCGATTCAAACAAAGAACATCGCATCGTTTATTTCGACGTCTCAGCCGGAAATAATCACGAACGCCACAAAAAGCGACCCCGCTTTGAAAGCAGCGATGATTCAAGTCCGAGGCGATCAAAAGAAAGAAGAAGATCTGCCCATAGATCTTATTCAAAACGGTACCGAAGAAGATCTTCAACGAGTTCATCCAGTTTTAGTTCATCTTCATCTTCAACAAGTTCTTCGAGAAGTCATTCTAGAAAAAGGAGTTTATCGAGAAATCGAAGGAGTTTATCACGAAGTCGAAGAAGTTTGTCGAAAAATCGAAGAAGTTTGTCAAAGAATCGAAGGAGTTCATCAAAAACTCGAAGTTTATCGAAAAATCGAAGAAGTCGATCAATTTGTAGATCAAGAAGGAGATCTTATTCCAGATCAATTTCAAAAGAAAGTTCATCAAGATCAAGGAGAAGATCAAAAAGTCGCAATCGAAGTCGAAAAAGTCGAAGTTCGTCGAGAAGTTCAAGAAGTTTTAACTCTTCATCGACAACTTCACCGAAAAAAGTACCAATTAAAAAAGAAACTACGACCTCAAGAAGTCGGAGTCCTTCGGTGAAGAAAGAATCGCCACCAAAAGTTATGACTAGGTATTATGGCAGGAAAAGAAGCGATCAAAGTTCGTCCGAGTCGAGCGAAGTTGATGAAGGAGCTAAAGATAACGCTGTTGAGGATCCTCAGTATGTTTCTTTTTGCATGGTTTCGAAGTTGTTATTTTATTTTATTTATTTTTAGGGTTTCTACATTGAAAAGCAGTGGTAATTCTGGCACTTCAACCAAAGTCAGTAAGAAACATATTTAATTTTTCAATTCAAAAATTATTTTTTTTAATTAATGTTTTGTAAAAATAACCCTTTAATCCTTTATTCATATTCTTTTTTAAATTTTTATGGATTTGTTGATATTATCTTGAAGGAGATTAAAAATCTTTTTAAACAAGATAAACGTATTAAATCATACGTATTAATTTTAAATCAAGGAATTACATAAACAAAACGACAAAATTTTAAATAAAAGCACGTTTAGTTCCAAATAGAGGATGAATATAAAGAAGCTATGTTAATGGTGCAATGTGAAAATAAAGATTTTAGTGTATATTATTTACTTGGGGTATCTAATGCTTATACATGTGCATATTGTAACATATAATACAGTTTGGCAAATCTATGTTAGCTGGTGAAGGTATAAAAAAAATACAAATAGAAAATTGCTTTATTAGTTATAGTTACATTATACATTATTAATACACTTATACACTACTTAAAATATAATATATTCGCGCATATAACGGAATAGCGTCCAGTGGACTTGTTGGGGGCTAATAATGAATACATATTCATAAGATTGGGGTTGTGGCAAGCCAGTCATTTTCTATTTGGGATATGTAAGCAAAGGTTAGATGTAAGTGTGGGTTCCACCTGTAATTCTAAAGTTAGTTGGACATGTTTTATTTTTTGAGTGCAGTGTGGAAATGAGGTGAGGACGTGGGGTGTTGTGGGGATGAGGGGTTTTGGAGGTTTCAAGCTTGGAATCTTGAAGTTGTTAAGTTATGTTTTGGATTAGTGGGATCAAAAATTACTACATAGTACTGTAAAGCGCTGCTATTATTAATTTTTTTTTCTTTATAGGTGGCTATGGAAGTTGTGCACTTACTAGGATCTAGTACTAACTAAATAACACCAATTAATTGGATTCACTATAAATGAAACTTACAACTTCTCAGAGCCAACTTTTAGAATAATTTTAGTTAAACATGGCGCACATAGCGGTACATGACACGATATTTTATTTGTTTACACGGACTATTAATTTTAAGAAAAATACTAAAGAGACAAAAAAGTACCACTAAAGAATGAGCTTTACAACCCATATTTTTTTATGTTAATATTCCATAGCGTTAAAAAGTTGTTATAAAAAAAATCAAGGGGGTGGTGAATTTCATCCCCTTAGAGGGCGCTGGGGAAGTTTAAGGTATGGTTGAAAATAAGGTCTTAACCAGTAGTACATACGTACAAAGTTTCAAATTCTACGGTTTACTTACAGCCGAAATACAAAACAAAATGTAAATTTTTTTCTCAATTTTGATCGCCCATAGCTCGAAAACAAAAGAGTTGCGACCCTATGTTTATATAAAAAAGTTTTGTGTTATTTTAACAAGTACTACCATAAGTACTACTATCCATAAGCCATAAACATCCATAAACGAAATATGAGCATTTTTCGAAATCACCCATTTTAATAATTTAGTTCAATGTTAAATCATGTTAAATAATTCAATGAAATCGATGATGAGACACCAAGATGTGACACCATTACTTGATATGTGCGATTGCATTTGACGAGTCCACGACGAGTTGGACCGCTTGTTGGAACAAAGTTGAAGAATTAAGAATGAAGTCAGTTCAATTCAGTTGGTATCTTTATTTCTTCATAATATTTTTGTTCATTAAACTCGTTAATTTGTGACTTTCCTGTTCTCATCAATCTCAATTCTCGTTATTCCTTGATTCTTGATTAATTCCGCTCTCTGTAATGATTATACCATTGGTTCAGGTTGATGAAGTCGTGAGATAAAACTGTATGGTTCGATTTGAGTCGTTTGACGCATTTCCATGCTTCTGTTGATTTTACACCACCAATTAAAGATTCTATTTGTTGGCATTTTTTTCCTGTCTAATTTCGTTTGTTTCTTTGAGAGCCATTTCTAAAATCTTTTCTTTTTTTTTTTAATTAAATCTCTAGTCTCTTCAGTTGTCCAGAGTTGGTGATGTACTTTCCTTTTTTTAATTTCCAGTTTACCTAAAGCCTCTGCAGCTGCTTCTGGAACGCTTCTATTATTCTGTTGTATTTCCACATCGTTGCTTATGGGTTTAATTCAAGTTGTGTTTTTATCGTCTTTGGTAGAGTTGATTACTTTGTTCTTGTAATAGGTGTACAGTTTGTATTACTTCTCCTGTTGATGTTTCAAGTTTCCCTTTCCTTCTTTGCTGTCTTTGGCCACCTAATGGTATCTACATGAAAATAGGATTTTTGCTACAAGTAGATGGTGGTAGGAGTCACCATTGGACCCTTGTTTTATTCTGCAACCTTGTTTTAATTTTGGCATGTAGGTTCAATATAATCAATTCCATCCGCTATCCAACGGTTGATATTGGGATCAACAATTTGTCAGCTTTTTATGGAACGGAGGACCATTACATATTTGGAGGACCAAGATTTTTTTGTAGAGGTTGTCTGCTCTAACCGAGTGAGTTTAGTATTGTGGTGCCAAAAATTCGACTTTCGCCCTTCTCCATCAGCTGCATATAATGCTATAATGTCTTCGAGGGCGTTCAGGATAGGATATTTGCTGACAAAACTTTTCATAGCCAAAGAAACAGATTATCAATCTCAACGTAAGAGATTGATAGTAAATGTAGCAAATTTAGAGTGGTTTAGAGTTAGTTTAGAATCATGGATACGTTTATACTTCGTTTAAAAGATTTTTAATCTCGACAAAATTTTTTAAATCAAAATTCTTTTAGTTTCTTAAATATTCATCAAAAATTTCGTGTAACCCCAAAATTGACATTTATAATTAATTTTCTTTCTAAGTTTTATAGACATAAGCTTAATTTCAGAAAACTCCTACAAATTTAAGCCTCCAAGAGCGGCTTAGAAGAAAAAGACAAGCTTTGTTGAATAAACAATGTAAATATAAATATAACCAAAAACCATTTTAATTTAACACAATCTCTTTTTGTAGTCAAAGCTGATAAAATAGCTGAACAATTAAAGACTGAACGAGAAAAACAAGAACAACAAAATCGAGAAGATGAATTGAGAGAAATGGCTATTAAACTTAGAAGAAGGTAATCATAATTGTTTCAAAATTTTTTTATTTAACAAGTTTCATATTTTTAGACAAAGAGAAAGACGTCACGCTTATGATAGTAACTCGACTTCTTCGTCTGATAACGACCGGAAATCAAAAAGTCCACTTCCAACCGTTGAATACAAAAGAAGTAAGTCGAATAGTCCAAGTCGTGATAGAAAAAGTAGAGATTCGAGAGATTTTAAAGACTCCAAAAAATACGATACGAAGAGAGATCGTGATCGTGATCATCGCAGTGAAAAATCTTCTCGTTACGAAGATTCTAAATCGTATAAAAGCGATAACGATCGTGATAAAGCTTATAGAAAGCGTGATGATTATGATTCAAGGCGAGAAAGTTATAAAAATAGGGATCATGGGCGATCATTGGTTGATTATTAAATTGTGAATCCTATTAATTATTTTGAGGTTATATTGCTTTCAGATTTATGTTGTAACAATTACATTGTATTAATTAAATATATGTATTGGTATATTAAAATGAGGTTGTTTCAATGTTGTTAAAAATAAAGTTTTGTATTACAGGAATCTGTAAATTCAAAATGCTTTCCAACGAATTTAACATCAACTGTCAAATGAGTTCTAACCTCAAATAACAAATTGAATTTTACAATTTTAAAAGTGTTTTTAAGGATGATTGAGTTCATAAATGATGAAAGAAAGAATTTTATTGCGCTGCATTCAGAGTTAGAGAGACAAAACCTAAAAAATTTGGGGTTTGTAAATGGTTAGAATTTTTTTTTAACATTCTTGTTCCTTTTAAACATTATTTCTTTGTTGTTAGATTTTAATTTAAATAACACCGCGAAAATGCATCAATTAATTAAGCTAAGAACGAAGAAAAAGGGGTTAGTTTTACTTAAAGAAAAGTTGCATCAAGATTTAGCGAAATGCGATGAAGAAGAGAAAGAAATTGTTGAGAAAAAAATTAAATATCAAAAAGGTAATTTTATTTTAATGTTTTTATATGATTGTTTACTTTTAACATTTCAGAGTTTCCATCTGCACAATTACAATTAAATATATTAAAAGCAATTATTTCCGATATTAAACATTTGAATATTGATTTCGTTCTTGTTCATGTTAAAGAGAATTCATTTACTGCAAAATTAGTACTTTTAGACAAGAAAAAAGAATTTATTAAAATTGTTGTAGATACACGAACTGAAATGATTATTGGTGAGTTATTTAATTTAATAAATTTTCATGAAAAATTGTGTGATTTATCTTTTTTAGATTGTGATCTGGATAATTTAAAAAATGCTAATGTTAAAAATGAATTATTACGGATTTTAGAGACTAATAAATGTTGTAAAGTATTCTTTACAAAGTTATGTGAATGTTTAGCAACAAAATAATTTTAAAAATAAAAGTTACTTTATATTAAATATGTATTATTTGAACCAACTAAAAATGTTTCTGTTAGTGTTAGATGAAAATATCACTAGAGAAAACGAAGGTTTATGAAGATAATTGTTAAAAGAAGTGATGAAGTTTTAAAGATTTCTTTTGTAACTGTTAGAATACCTAGATTAATTTTTTATCCTTATGTAATTGTAAAATAACATTTAATTATTATTATTTCTGGTTGTCTAGAGATGAGATCACAACTATGTGATGTATTTTGTTAAAAAAGAATATTGCATGTTTAATAAATAACGCAATTAAATAAAATGAGAAGTAACATTTGCTCAGATTTTGAAGCTATTATTTAGTATAATGCAGTCTAACCTACTCTGCGTCATGGTTGTTCTTAAAAATGTTATTAATCTGCGTAAATTTGAATAGCTTCTTTCAGAAGTACAAGATGTTAATGGAATAGTAAGAAATAATTTTAGAACTTTGAAAAACTTTCCAAATAAATCTTTTTAAATGTTCATTTTCATTAAAATATGAAGCTATTTCCGATACTGAATGAAATTCCTGCCTCCTACACAATCGAAAAACATGTTTTTATGTAAATTGATACTTTGAATACAAGAATTCTTCTCATAGATAAAGAATTGTATAAGAGCTAGGAGAAGAAATATATTCTTTAAATCCCCTAACGTTTAACAAACTAACTGGGAATCCCCTAGCAAGCGTTGGCGTTACCAATATTACATTGTTGCCAACAGAATTATTTGAAAACAATTAAATGGCAACTTCATCAAATAAAACCACTAATAATAATTGGAAAATTCGTATGACAAGCCATGTATTCGGCGCCTATGATATCTACTTCTTAATCGACTACTTTTAAGACTATTATAATTTATAGTAAAACATGAATACAAATAACAGATAAAGCTCTGACGACATTTTGTGATGCTGGTTAAACCATTTTGCTGAAAAGGTAACTGATACCTCAGGCCATTACCATATAATTTTTGTGTGAGAATATGATAAACTGTTGTGGAACTGTTGAAACATAACTGTGTCCCGAAAAGGAAAGAGTTTAACAAACAAAAAATTGTGTGATCTTTAAAATAGTACTTAATTGTTAATTTTATGATTATCAATATGTTGGAAGAGTTGACCAAAGTTATTTATATCAATTTCAATAGAGCTGCCAAGTAGACCACTTGTCTTTTTAAGAATCATAGTGTATTCTACCAACTTTCGAAAGTGTTGGAAAGATGAAACGTTTAATAATTAAATGGAATATATGTTGAAGAGTCCTAGAATCAGGCTAAGTGTACGAACGGCGGAAGTTATAGAAGCACATGTGCTTGCAATGGTACCGTTGTTATAGACGCTAACAAAGCAGCAACGAAATCTGTCAATAATAACAAGTCTTAGTGTAAGTGTAGCAATTACAATCAGCTGAATGGAAAACAGCTTGGGTTCGGCTGAAAATTACTTTCAATATTATTAAAATAGATCAAATAATCCTGGTGAATGCAAACTTTGCAGTTCCACCTTAGAAGCCAATACCTATTATACTAATAATTAAGCCATCTAGTTCTTCAAATATTTATTAACATGTGCCAATTAATCATGGACACTCCAAGATAAACAAGAAGGAAAGATCATAGCAATGGAAATGAAATAAGGAAAATAGTGGGGAAGATGAAGTGGGATAGGATAAGGAATGAGAAAATAAGACTGGGAGTAGATCAAGAGGAGATAATCAGCAAAATAGAGAGAAAGCAACTAAACTGGTACGCCCACATAATTAGAATGGAACATTTGAAGCAAAGAATAAGGATAAGAAAAAGAGGGGAAGACCTAGGAAGAAGTAATACCTGGAAAGAATAGCAGAAGTTGGGAAGAAACAAGGGAAGGCTCTAGAAGATATAACGGAATTAGCCAGGAACCGGAGGGAGTGGAAGAGGTGGATGGAGGAATAGGAAAAAGATTTATCCGACGTCATCGGGCATAAGGATCAGGAGAAGAAGACGAAGTTCTTCAAATGTTCACCAAAGCTAACTGATTCTGCGAGCATGCGACTGTTTCATAAAAACAAGCTCATGATGCAAATGGGTTAATGAAGTTCTTTAACCACCAATTCATCCACTGAGATAAATTCAAAAATATGGGAGTAATAAAGGTCATCCTTTATCCAATTTCATGGTTTTTATAACAAATTGAAATTAATTACACAATAATTACGAACCTAGGAAGTCTCCGTAGTTGTGCTCCAAACTGAGTATGCATAGGCTATTACAGGTTTTATTAACGATTTATAAAGTAATATTGCACATTAGATCTGCAGTTTCGATTTTCTGTTAACGATCTTTAACTTTCCTAACAGTAAATATTTAGACCTCACGTTTATTAGATGATTTATGAATCTCATTAACCGAGTTTAGGAGATTTTGAATGAATTTTTCTAGAATTTATTTTGGGTTATTGTAACCATGTCATCTTCAAATAAGATATAGATATTAAACAGTAACGGCGAGAGGATTCTGCCATGGGGAACTCCATCCTTGAAATTCATAATTCATAATAATTAGTATCTCTTTTAGGTTTTGGGCAGTGCAGATAATAATCAAGTTCAACCCCAATAAAGGCAACTGTTGTGTACTCTTTCGTTTTATATCCTCGCTTAATTATTTCTGTCACTCTTTTGAGTTGATGTACTGTTGAATGGCCAATTTTAAACTCATATTGACTGCTATTTATAACTGTGATTTTGGATCGTAAGCATTCAAAAATCTGTTTCTCAAAAAGTTTGGCCATGGTAGAAGGCAGACTAATAGTAGACCTATTTTTCAATTTCTCGTTTATTTTTGTCAGGTTTCCTAAACATTAATATTTCAGCTTCTTTCGAGATGTTAGGAAAGTATCCCAGATTCATGCAGATGTTAAATTTGGAGGTGAATATAATTTAAAGATCTAAGATTTTTGATCTTCCCAATTAGAAACCTGCAGCCTTATCAGCAGCTGTGCTAAAGGTGTTGATAATTAATTTGATAGATTAATGTTGGAATTGTACATACAGAGTCTGAGTCATACATAAGCATTACAATTCCATGCCTAGAATGATTCTTGTGGGATGACGCAAGGATCTGTCTCAACTTTGAATTCTTATCACTCGAAAATCTTCAAAGAAATATTTCTCGCAGGTGAGAATGATGACTCGTGGCGATATTCGTAATTAATATAGAGCATGCTCAAAGAAGCATAAACAATGCTTGTGATGTGATAGGAAGAGAAACTTAGTTGGATTGCGGAAAAATTAATTAGTTTCCACAGAAAATGTCAGAATTGGAAATAAATATTGCAATTGCTGACAGAAAATCAATCCAATTTGGAATGATTATGAATACTGAATTTTGGTCCAAAGACTGAGGCGTTATCTAGAACGGAATGATGTGAATGTATTACATACATCAAGTGATTATTTATACCTACAAATTTCAGAATGTGTTAATGAGCATATTTTAGCAGAAAAAGAATTGAAACAAAAGCTTGTTTAATTTCATCATTTATAAAATTCCTTCTTAATAATAAAAAATAATGTTAACATAAAATATCGATGGACATTTTAAAAAATTCTTCCCAGGGACAACACATAACACGGTAGCGGGAATCGCACGCTTACGTTTTTGGACCGTACATTATTAAATGAAAATGTCAGCGTAGTATCCTGCTGAATATATACATACATACACTGTAAAATTCCCGGAAACCCTCCGGTCCGGTAGCGGGGGACGACCGTCGAGTTTTAACCCACCTACCGCCTTACCCGGAGGTGCCCCCCGCGGGAACGTCAGGTGGGGGCTCGGGAAGAATGTAATTTTGCCGGGACGAGGCCTCGGGGAGTTGCGGTCTTCCCCCATTTTTTTTCCTCTTTCATTCTTTTTTTCTTACAAACAGTTTTCTGGACCAACCACTGTATGGACTTGAGAATGTGAATATGTACCGCGATAAGTATCGTGCCATATTCAAAGTTTTTAGTTACTTAACCTTTAAACACTAACCATTCGTAATGCTAACACTAATACTAACCATAAGTAATTATTACGACTATTTTTATTTTTATTATTGCTTGGGTTTTAATGACAAGATATTAAAGTAATACACCTTTATATCTAATATACATCAGTTTTGACAGGAAAAACATAATAAATGGTTAAAATGTGTTATGTAAAACTGAGAAAATATTTTATATGAATTTTTCTTTTCAAAGTTTTATTTCAATTTATTATATGTACATAAATAAGTTTTAGATTATTGATAATTGACGACCTACCTACTTGACTACCTCACTTTTTCAATTCTAAGGAGTCGTGCAAAGTATCTAATCCATCACAATTACATGGAATATGTTAAAAGAGCTGAAAGTAATATGCAATCTGATCCAAAGGTGTTTTGGGCTTTTACTAAGTCTAAGAAGCGTGCGGATGTCATTCCTTCTACGATGTCATGGAATGGAACTGTTGTCGGCGATGGTGTCGGAGTATGCTCATTGTTTGCTGATTTCTTTTCTTCGGTTTTTGTGGATCCTGCTCCAATCCAGCAGAATGTAGATTGTATAGAAATGGATACCCTTCCTTTGAGTCAGATGCAGTTTGACAGAATTGAGGTTGAGGAGGCCCTGATGGGCATCAGGGTTACAGACAGTATAGGTACTGATGGTATTCCATCAATTTTAATCAAGGAATGTTCACACTCTCTGTCCCTTCCTTTAACTATTTTATTTAATGCTTCATTGATAGTGGGTGTCTTTCCTTTATTGTGGAAGCGGGCTTTTGTTCTTCCCATTTTTAAATCTGGGGACCGTGGTGCTATATCCGATTACCGCCCCATATCTATTTTGCCAGCATTTGGGAAAGTGTTTGAGAAAGTAGTTCATGCACGTCTATTCTTTGCCCTTAAGTCTAAAATCAATTCTAGACAACATGGTTTTTTTGCTGGTCGCTCGGTGGAGAGTAACTTGCTTGAATATACCCAGTAT